AGTAGGGCTTCCTCCTTAGAAATGTTCTGCAAGTTCTAGATCCTAGATCTAATGAGGTCTGTCTTTTTCCTAACCTCTTATTTTAGAATCTGAGCTGTTTGTTTCTGCTGTTGTACTGTTTTCACCAAATCACCAGGAAGGCCAGTCAGTACCTGTCACCTAAAATGGGCAGACTGAGCCCTGGCCGGTTTGGCTCAGCGGTTGGAGCGTCGGCCTGCGGTACAGAGAGACCCGGGTTCGGTTCTCGCTAAGGGCACGTACCTCGGTTGCAGTTTGTCCCCGGCCCTGGTTGGTCGTGTGGGTGGCAGCCACTCGATGTGTCCCTTCACGTCAATGTTTCTGTCTCTCTCTCCCTCCCACTCTATCTGAACAAAAAATGGAAAAATGTCCTCGGGTGAGGATTAAAAAAAAAAAAAAAAAAAAAATTAAAATAAATAAATAAAATGGGCAGACTGAGACATGCAGGTCATGTCCCAGAGCCTAGAAACAAGGCCTCTCCTTGCTGGTAAAATGTGTGCTTTTTCCTTCCTCCCAGGTGGCAAGTTACATCAAAGAGCAGACTCAGGAACAGTTCCAGATGATCATCATTTCCCTAAAAGAGGAGTTCTACGCCAAGGCGGACGCCCTGGTCGGCGTCTACCCAGAGGTAAGGGGTAAGACCCGCTTCGGTGTCCTGCCGCACAACCATAGGTTCCTCCCGGATCGTAGATACGGTGTGATTTCTGTAGTTGAAAACTGTAGGCTTAAATTATTTTTTACTGAAATACAATTTAAAAGTATAGATACTCAGGTATTTTTCTGTAGCAGTACTCAAGAAAGTTAAGATATGAAAAAGCAAACCAAAAATTGCAGAACACTTCTTTGTAAAATAATAGTACACGTTTACTACACAAAGTAAACTGTTAATATTATAGGCCCTATTTCTGTAATGTCGGGATGTTTTCAGCAAAAACAAATGTTTTGTGCTAGTACTAACAAGGAACCATTACCAGAGGGGGAAAAAAGAAATTGATCAAAAGTTCCAAGTTGTCTAGTAACCTTCAGAATGTGCACACACCTCTCTTAAGCCATTCAGAATCCTCGAGCTAGTGGAGTGCAGCAGCTAGTGCTCACCATTTCCACTTCTGGACTCTGAGCTGGTCAGATAAAAGGAATTTCCCTTCCTGTGCCTGCGAATTGTTAGGGGCCACTGGAGATATGCTGCAGAGATGGAAATTCTCACACTGTGCAGGGGAGGGAAACCGTCTTCTGTTCATCTTAGGGTCTCTGGCTGAGCCTATAAATCAGACTGGCAAGACAGGGTAACGAGAGAAAAACAGGAGCTTATGAACACCGTCAGCACAACCCAAAGGGGGCTAGAGCTCGGGCTCCTCTCCCATCTTTGGCTGAAATGAGGAAGAGGGGCTTGGTGGGGTGGGTGATCGGAAGGTGACCAGGAAAAGTGTGGTAAAACAAGTCAGGTTTGCTCTGCAGATTCAAACAGGTGCCTTCTCCATTGATAACCGTCATTAAGAGTAAGGCAGGTGTCTTTGTAAATGTGAATTTCCTGCAGAAAAGGAAAACTCATGTCCAGTTTTTAGAGCTTTTCCTGCATCTGCTGGTTCTCAACAGCCCCAAACAATCCATATACCAAAGAGCCATATTTTGGCATGGCATATCCTAGTACCTTTACCAGATAATACAAAAAGCAAGCAAGTAAGTAAAGCTGATGTAGCCCTGGCCAGTTTGGCTCAGCAGTTAGTGTTGGCCTGCAGACCAAATTCTCGGGTTTGATTCCTGGGTTGCAGGTTTGATCCCCAGCCCCAGTCAGGTCTTGCAGGAGGCAACCAACAGATATGTCTTCACATGGATGTTTCCCTCCCACTCCATCTGAAAAATCAATGGAAAAATATCCTCATGTGAGGATTAACAGAAATAAAAAATGAAGTGACGTAAATGCTGACAATTGATACTTTCTTAGGTGGCTGTAACAAGTTTTCTTTTTAAATGCAAATCAAGATTCACTACCGGCTCATATTTTATGCTTAATAACACCCTTTTCCCACATTTTATGCTTAATAACACCCTTTTCCCACGTAGAAGGAATAACTTAACTGTCTGCTCTCTGTTTCAGCATGATGACTACATGTTCAGCCGAGTTCTGACCCTAGATCTTTCTCAGTACCCAGACACGGAAGGCCAGGGAAACAGCAAACAGCGGAAGTCCCGTTAGGGCCCAGAGCCCATGAGCGACTGCAGCCCAGAGCAGACGAGACGGCAGAGAGTGGTCAGGGCCATCACTGTTCGGTTCCCACTCTCATATTCGAACAGCTGTTGAAGAGCAAACTGCTGGGCACGCAGACAGCCTGTGCCATTTGAGAGCGTGATGCTGCCAGCCCGGGTGCCCCCTTCCACTGAGGAGCGTCCAGGCCCATTCCCGTAGGCACCACTCCCTGCGAATTAGCTTGAAGGAATTCTTTTAAAAAGGTACAATTTTGTACCATAGTTTTAAGTTCCACTTTGAAATCCAACCAGAAAAATGTTGAATTCTTCTTCACTCTGGTCTTGCCTTGTCCATTTAGGTAATGTTTAAAGGGTGCTCGGTTTCTGAATGTACTAGTTGCACGGTGTTGAACCTGGGTTTATGAGTCATTACTTCAGAGGAACTGATGTCAGTATGAAAATATCAGTAAAAATATTCTAATTGCAAATGTCTCAATCTACAATTTCATAAACAAAAAAAATGTAAAGGAAAACTGAACTATGTCTGCTCCAATGTAATCTACATTTTTCTAAGTGTAATTTCTGTGAAGAAGGGAAGGAGTGCGGGCTTCGCCGAGTAACGGCAGACGTCTCCACTCGCGCCCACTGTTCCGGGAGGGAAGGGGGCTGCAGCCCTGTCCACAGCACCTCCTTTCCGTTCCGGAGCAGAGGACACTGAAGGGTGGCCATCTTCTACGACCGCTCTGGGCCGGTGCCATCCACGGAGCAGCTTCCTGAAGGCACGACTCACTCTGAACCAGCTCACTGTTGCACATAAACAGAACGCACTCTGTGCCCAGGAAGTTGCTGTGTCACAAGCCTGATGAACTGGAGAGCAGGGGCCACTGGATCTGTCCTTGGCTCTTGGCTCAGGGCTGGCAGTAGCATCTCAGTCACTGGCTTCCTCTGCCTTGAAAGACATCAGCTTAACACTGATGTCCCTTCAGAGCCCCCTGAGCTTGGCGTCGACCCGAATCTCTTCCTGGGCTGTCCTCGCTCTCATAGCTTGGACTCAGATGGTCAGTTCTAAGGCAGCACCCACGTTCCTGAAACCACCTTGCTATGCAAGACAGGGACAGCCACTGGGCGATGGGAACACGGGGCTGGAACACCACACTCCAAAAAGAAGATAGGAACCTCATAAAAGTCATGGTTGGTCTGCATACATGAAATGGTTAAGAACGACACCGGCATCATAGTAAACAGCACTGTGTCCTGAGAGGGCCCTGAAGTCAGCTTGCGGAGTGGGCATCGCCGGGTCCGGCAGTGGAAGGGCTTGTCTGAGGAAGCTGGCAGCAGAGGGCTGGCAGGCTGGCACCGGCGTTGGCTATTGGCACATCTCCCCGCAGCTCTGCAGCTGGGTGCCGGTCCCAGCTCTCACCTACTTCACCCAGTGCCGAGGTCAGCAGCCTCCTTCAGGGCCGGAGAGTAAGAAGCGCAGGCTTTGGGGAGGCCGCCAAGGGGCCGTCATGTAGGTGTCGAACTCTGAACCTCAGTTAAGCGTGTAAAGCCGGCGTGGCCTGCAGTGTCGAGCCAGGCTGTCCCCGACCCGGTGGGCCTCACAGCCAAAGCCTCAGAGGCAAGGCAGGCACACTCAGGCCATGTCCCCGCACACACAGGCTGGCTCTGCTGGACCTTCCCAGCTTTCCCTCCTGTCCCACCTCATTCCGAGCTGGGACGTGGCCAGGCCCTGTGTCTGACCAACTCCCAGATTCAGAAATCCATCCCTGATCGCCCTTCGCGAGTCTTTAAAAAAAACAATTCATAATGTTTACTTGTCAGAAACCTTAAACATTCAAGTAGTCACTTACTTGATTTCACAATTAAATGGCAACTCATGGTAAAAAGTCTAATTAAGTTAAACCAGGCCTTGTCATAACTGAAGAAAACAAGCACGCAGAGTTGAAGTGACAATGTTATGACCAGAGTAACATAAAAGATGTGTTTCGTGCTTCGAAATGAAGACAAGGTCAAGCAGGTCTAGCTGTCTCCTTCCCGTACCCCCAACCTATTCTTGTTCTCTACACCTGTGGGGCTCCAGGGCCGTCAGTGTGGGAGTCCTGTCACAGGAAAGTAGGCGACACCAACCAGGGCCTTCGCCGTGGTGACAGGGCAGCACGTCCCCTCACCCTCCACCCGGCACTGCAGTCAGCCGCCTGCGCCTGCCCCGGGACACGGACGGCTGCAGTGCCGCAGGCCTCCCTGCACAGTCCGCCTGCCTCCCGTGCAGGTCCCGCGGGCTGTGGGAGAGTGTCAGCTGAGAACGGACGGGCTGGACCTCCCCCGCTCCCTATGGGCTTGGAAAGCCTGGAAGTTATACTTCAACTAAAAGTTAAAAAGCCGGTGTGTGCTCCACTTGCAACTTCAGTTACCCGCCGCAGAACAGACTTGCACTGCCCAGCCGGTCGCTCTTCTGGGTGGGAGCCCGTCCCCTGCACCAGACAGTCATGGGTTCGATTCCCCATCAGGGCACATACCTAGGCTGCAGGTTCTGTTTCTCTCCTACGGATGTTTTTTCTCTCTCTCCCTTCCTCCCCCTCTAAACAGAAAAGAAAAGAGGCCCTGTGATTCTTCATAACTTCACTTTTCGGCGATAGTTACATCCATTCTTTGGAACTGAAGTTACTAAAATTACAGAATTCCAAAGAAGCCTTATTGATCAAATCATTCTTTTAAAAGACATACCACTCTCACCGGCAGATTCTCGTAACCTCGAATATTCTTTACTATTTAACAATGTAACAAACATACCTGAAAAGTTTTTTCTATTGTAACAGATGTTTCCCCATAAAAATGATAAAGTTTAAGAGCCTAGTTTCTTATTTTCTCTTTGGCAACTACTGTTGCTTGTACAGTCTTCACTCTCCCCCTTTTACTAGAAAACCCGCCTTGACAGAGGGCGTGTCGGGGGAGCCGGAGCTCCAGGCCTCCCCCCCTGCGCCCCTGAGGTAGCTGTCCACCAGTCCTCACGAAGGACACCTGAGCTGTGCGCTTTACCCCATGAACACGTGGGACTGTCACCCGGCCTCCGCGGGCCACACCCCCAGGGCTCTCGGGGTACGTGAAGGTTTCTAAGGGAGATCATGTGGAGTCTGAACATTCCTCGTTCGGGTATGGCACTGTGGTTACAGAAGGCTGGTTTTCAAGTTGCAGGTTTTATTGGTTCTAAAGATTTAAGACGCTCCAGCATCATCTGTTTAAACAAAAAGAAAGGAATACCAAAATATTAAGGTTCAGCTTGAAAAAGTACTTGCCATTGGGTTTCTATTTCAGAAAACTTGTAGTTTTTCTTATGTGCTAAAGACTCAGAAAATGTCTCCATGATGGAAACAGTAGCCAGTGTCCAGAAATGGCTCTGTGCATTCCAAACGCTGTCGGGGACACTGGGTTCTGTGCGGTCTGGGGACTCTCCAGCCGTGACTGTGGTGCTGCCCCCTTCGGAGGGGCAGGGACAGTTTCGGCGCACATGGCGGAGCCCGTCCACACAGTGGGAGCCCGCCAAGGGCCCTGCTCTCATCTGCGGGGCTGGCCAGCGGCCCCGGGTGAATGTTGGTCTCTCACCACGTGCAGAATGGAACACGCTTTCTGCGAGAGGCCGAGGGCTTTGTCTAGGCAGACAGCTGCGGGGGAGGGGAGGCTGCTATGGGCACTGGCGTCGAAGGGGCTGGGGACAGCGCTGGCCGACCTGCCCACTGCTCCACAGCAAGGCCACCAGGCAGAAAGCCCTGCCACCAACACACCCGACTCCGAGTCCCCACCGCGGGAGAAAAGCTGTGTTCGCAGCAGCAGAAACCCACTGTCCACTGAGAACAACCCGGGCCGGCTTTTCCCAACATCTCCACACCAGTGGAGAACCACTCGCCCTGAGGAAACCACCCGAAGACGCCAGTCTTGTTTCTTCAGTTACGCGTCTCGACTAGCTGAATTCACAGTCCACATACTTGCTACAAGACTTCAAAGAATTTTATCCAAAATGTCCTCACAACGGAACTCGGAGGTACAAAGTGTCTGGACCTGCACAGACCGGGGAGGGGCTGTGGAATCTGCTTGGCAGCCGCACAGCCGTCCTCCACAGGGTCCCCAGCCTGCAGTCCCCTCCACCTGCAAGGGACAGCAAGACGGCCAGCTCGGGCACCACCCACTCCGCAAGCAGCCACTTCAACAACGGCCTTGCTTGTTGACTCTGACGGAGTGTCGCCTGCATTCCTTATGACCCTGTATCTACAACAGACCACGTTGACAACACCCGGCCCTGCGGACGGAACGCAGGCACACCCACGGAGGTTAGCTGACAGGCAGCTGGCAGGTGACTGACAGCAAAGGCTTCCCGCTCCAGAATCTCGGTGGACTGCCATACAGGTAGGTGTTAAGGAGTGTTTTACTGAGGTTGTCTTATACGGGAATAGAAAGTAAACTGTACTATCTGAAAACCCTGCACCCATGCTTTCAGGAGTGGAGTCGAGTCGGGTACCCAGGGCAGCCTCTGGTTTCTCTAGAGATTTGAAAAGATGTTATGGACATACAATAACAGATGCTATGAGAAAGAAAACTCAGAGAGCAAGAACACCTGGAAGGTAACATAACACTGTCAAAGTAATTTAACCCAAAGGCGAGAATATAATTCTGAGACTCTCAGAAAGATGTTCTGAAAAAAGGAGACAGAAATGAAAAGACGTTACAGGAGCAGCAGACAGTAGAAAGTAGAAATCAATCCAGGAGATCCCAACTAATGTGAATTCAAGAGAGGAGGCCCTGACCAGTTTGGCTCAGCAGATAGACGACAGGGCCACAGGTTCGATTCCCAGTCAAGGGCACGCCTAGGTTGCAGGTTCGGTCCCTGGCCCCAGGCAGGGTTGTTCAGGAGGCAACCGATCGATGTGTCCCTCTCACATGGATGTTTCTCTCTCTCTCTCTCTCCCTTCCTCCCTTCCATCTATCCTAAAAACAAAACAAAAAATCAATGGAAAAATATCCTAGGGGTGAAGATTAACAACTACAACAAAAAGCAACAGCAACACGCACAGCGGAAGAGGGGCAAAGCCAGTGGGCTGTGAGGAAGCCTGAGCTTGATGACACTGGTCCTGCAGCAGCACGGGGCGGGACACTGGCCCCCACGCGGCCCCATCTGGCTAACCCGGAAAGTGTCCGCTGTCCCCCAGCCACAGAGATCGACAAGGGCGACGGGGAAGTGAGGAGGGGGAGGGTGGCCCAGCACAACCCAGCCCCACGCTGGGAGGGGACAGTCGTGAGCCCGACACCTTTCTGCAGTCAGCGGACATCATCTACTGAAATACACATTGACAGCGATCTCCTCTCACAGAAGCAACAAAAAGCACATGGTTTAGAGTGGTTTTCCCTGGAGACCAAGGCGACGCAAGTCAGGGCGGGTCACCCTGGGCTGTGGGGGCTGCCGGCAACGCTCTGCGTCTGGCACCGGCTGACGGCGCGCGTCTTCCCTCTGCATGTGCGCGGCGGGCCTACAAGCTGCACAGTGTTCTCAGTGACGCTCATCTAAATGAACGGAGGTTTGGCACAGGGTCCCCGGGCACTCCTGCCAGCGACCAGGGCGGGCCGGCGGCGCCACAGGCGGAACCGGCACAAGCGCCCAGCGCGGTGCGCTCGCTTCATACCTGACGGCCGGAGTTGTTTCGAAACTTCGACTCCATTCTCTTCTAGCTTCCTCTTTGCACAGTCCTGACACGCGCTCCCTAAAGACCAAACGTGGGTTAGAAAGCTGCTCCGGCCCCGCCCTCCACGGAGCAGCCGCGAACCGGGCTCAGCCAGGGGACGGCTGTTGAGTGAAGGCCTTTTCAGAAGGGAAGGAGGGTCTGGGAGACAGCTAAACGTCACGAGGTGGCCCTCCCACGGGAACAGGCAGAAACGGAGGGCTGGCACCCGTCCTGAGCTGCAGCCCCCCAGCCTGGCAGGTAGGCCAGGGCTGCACACGCCGCTCCACGGCCCAGCCTGCTCACCCACCGGGCCCAGTCCGCCCAGGGAGGAGCCGGCAGCCACGGAGCCTGGCCACGTCTCATTCACTCAGAAAGGGGCAGAGTGGAGCCCAGCAGGAGGAGCATTCGCGCTGCAAACACGTGTTAGATGGAACATTTTAGATAAAGCTTAGAGGCTGTCAGAGTTTCTGAAGGGTCCCAGGGACTGCTCTTAGACTGAACGCTGGAACCAGAGTCCTGTTCTGACTCCCGTCACTCGGCCCGCAGCAGGGAGGCGCTTTAACCCCTCCCCGTGGCAGGGCCCGCCCCGCAGGCGCCGCTGGTCCTCTGGCCGAGCTGTGTTCCACGTGAGGACACGAGACTCACAGACAGTGGCAGGGGAAATGGAACGCGTGGGCAAACCGCAGGCTGACAGGAGTTCAAGCTGTGCCTTACCCAGTGTGGTGCTGTCCACCAGGTCGGCATCTGGGGAGAAAGGAACACAGTGAGCAGACGGAGCCGCGTGCGCCCTCCGGCCGGCGGCGGCACTGGTGGCGAGGCCACGGCCCTGGCGCACTGTGGGACGGCGGGCTGGTGGCTGCCCTCTCATCTCCCCCAGGGCACACGCTGCACCAGCTGTCACTGCCATATGCCACCCTCTCCAAGCTGGGACCTCAGGAATGTAAGTAGTGTTCCTCAGGACACAGATACAAGGTCTGGGGCGGGCGTCGGCGGGGACGGGACGGCCTTCAGCGGCACACCCCAGGACCCGAGCCTGTGCAGGTCCACAGTAGGTCCTGGTGCCCTGTGCTTGTGTGTGGAGGCAGGAGGTGGCGTCAGGGGCAGAGGTGACGAGAACACCGTCCCCCGCCAGAGCCAGCACACAGCCGTTTGGGGCTGCCCTGAACGGAATGGTGCACCTTGCTCAGCCCAGGTCCCCACCCCAGCTTCAAAACACCTGGCACCCGCCTGGCACGTCATTCACCTCTGAGCTGGTCTCGTCACCTGGGGCGTTGGACATTGACTAAACGTGAAGTAAGGTCGGGAACGTGAAACGCCCAGCGTGCGACAGCCCAGCTCCCTGCTCCTCAGCGAGAAACCGACGACTGCCCTTGTCACACTGTCACTCACGGAAGTGCCTCTGAATCAGTCCATTCTCACTACTGATACAAGGGCTGGTGGGAAGGAAACTCAGGTGTTGGCTCATCTGTGCGTCCGTCACCCACGGTCTTAGCGTCTCTGGTCTTCAGTTCACAGCTGGTCACAGCCAGCCGGCTGTCTCCCTGGGGCACCCAATGCCACGCGTGAGTGTGCCTGGGTTTCCTGTTACCGTTAACGACCATCAACACAGGCTTTTCCATGTCGCCGTCATCCATGATTTATGACACAAACTCAAAGCTATTTAGCTGCCCGTCTGTCAAGCTGACCACTTTAAGAGTCGCTCAGCGATCCTGGTCACGCCTGGCAGAGCAACAACCCCAGAAGGGCCAGGGAGTCACCTCAGCGGTGCCTGCACTCAGTGAGCACAGAGGTGACCGAAAAGGGCAGTCTTCTGAGACCGTCCTGTCCCTGCAGTTTGTGACAGGGTCGGTGAGGAGCATCTGCAGGACGGGTCCTCGGCAGGCCGTGGGGAAGCTGCTGGCGGTGTCCAGCTCAGCAGCGACCCCGAAGTGGCGCCTGGGCCAGAACCACGGCGCAGCCCCACCTGGGGCTTTCAACTTTGCAGGCCGCCGTCACCCAACCCTCCGTCTTTAAAGTGCACAGACACTTTGGGAAGTAACTGAGAACTGGGCAGTGTAATGGTCTGTAAAATAAGATCTCAAACCAGCACAAACCTGGAAGGCCCTGCAGGGTCGGCGCGGGGCCGAGAGCAGGCTCCCTGGCCGGACTCCGCTGCCTGCAGATCTGCGAGGCCAGGTCCTGCACGTAGCCCGGGAAGTGGTCAAAACAGGCCCCGTAGGACAGCACCTTGATGCCGTGCAGCAGCATGTCGGCCTGGTGCTTGAAGAAGTGGTCCTCGCTCTCCTTCAGCACCACCATGTAGTGCTCCAGCTCCACCTTGTTGGGCACCGAGTACAGGAAGAGCGCCTGGAAGATCTGGTCCCTCAGGGTCTCCCCGCAGCCCACGAACAGGAAGGACTTGGTGCAGTACAAGTTCTGGAACACCTCCTGGGAGCAGCAAGGAAGAAACAGCTGCCCCGCTGCCCACCAGCAGGGCCAGGCCCCACCGCTGCGCCCCACCACCCCGGGGCGGCCTGTCCAGAGCCACGCGGCCCAGCCGAGCAGCAGAGGCAGCGCCTTCCTGTCCCCGCAGGGAGCCCGGCCCGGCCGAGTCCAAGTCTGGGGCACGCGAACCCGAAGTGGGGCCGGCCGGCCGGCCGCCCACCCTGCCCACCAGTCTTGGGCTGAGCATCCACTCAACTCAAAACTTCTAGAACCACGTACAGTTTTAAAACGTAAAATAGCCCGGCCGGTGTGGCTAAGTGGTTAGAGCATCAGCCTGCAGTACAGAGAGACCCGGGTTCGGTTCCCGCTAAGGGCACGTACCTCAGTTGCAGTTTGTCCCCGGCCCTGGTTGGTCGTGTGGGTGGCAGCCACTCGATGTCCCTTCACATCGATGTTTCTCTCTCTCTCTTCCTCTCTCTCCCTCCTGCTCTATCTGAACAAAAAATGGAAAAATGTCCTCGGTTGAGGATTAAAAAAATAAAATAAAATAAAATAAAAATAAAACGTAAAATAAGCCCGGCTGGTGTGGCTCAGTGGTTGAGGGTCGACCCTGCACCAAGAGGTCACTGGTTCGATTCCCGGTCAGGGCACATGTCCAGGTTATGGGCTGATCCCCAGTGGGGGGCGTGAGGCGTCCAATGGACGTTCTCTCTCATCGATGTTTCTAGTTCTCTCTCCCTCTCTCTCTCTAAAATCAATACAGAAAAAAAGACTTTTTAAATTTTTTTGAAAAACTAAATAAAACACAAAGCAAGGGTGTGAAATGTTTCGGTTCAGAGCTGCACACGCCCCACCCCAGAATGAATGTCCGCAGATGGGAACTTTGGGGGGTGGGGCACTGGTGTCAGGGATACAGGGTTTTGGGGAGTGAGGGCAGCCGAGCTAGGGGGCCAGAAACAGTGACCCAGGGCAGTGGGCACAGAGGGAGCAAAGATGATGTGGGGTCACTTGGGCCTTCAGTGGGAACCCACAACGGACCCCCAGCATCTCGGAGGACCAGCAGCAGCTCAGAAATGTCTCACGACCAGGACACGTCACTGGTTCAGCCAAAGAGCCTCGGCCACACCATCTCGTGCCACACCCTGCTGTGTCCACGGGCCCGGGGCCTGCTCCGAGGGCCCGAGCCTGAGCCCGGGCGCGTGGCTCACAGAGACCGTGGTTTCTCCGCATAGCCAAGTTCACGAAGGCAGGGAGGCAGGGTTTCCACTCTGCTCTGATGTCCACAGAGCCTCAGAGGATGAAGTTTTAAAACTGTTTTGAAGCTGGAGAGTGCCGAGTGGAGAAGAGAGGAGAGAATTTCAGACGGACAACTGACAAGGAGGGAGCGGCCAGAGGACGGCATCAGACCATGCGGCCTGCACGTCCGTCCGCAGCTCAGCCGTGTCCCCGAGCCGTCACGGACAGCGGGGGCGTGGAGTCAGCTCGGACCCTGCTGCAAATGGATCCTGCACCATGTGGCTCCGAGCGTCTGGGCCACATGCCCGTGCCAGGCATGGACACAGCGCGGACCAGCACACAGCCCACCCCAGCGAGCGGACCAGGGCAGGAAGGCCTGGAGGCCAGGAAACCCTCCCACCGCTGCCGCCAGTCCCCAGGGGCTGGGCCAGGCCATGGAAATCAGGGGCCGTACCATCACTTCTGGGTCCTGGGTGACATCCTTGTACCCCGACGGGTCCAGCACCATCCCACAGGGGTCCGTGTATAAGCCGTGGATGTGGAGGACTCCGTATCTGATGTGTCCTCTTGCCCACTGCAGGACCTGTCAACCCGAGCCAGCACAGAGCTGCTGTTACTGCACACAGGTGTGAGGGCAACAACTAAGCCGGATCATGGTCTTTCAAAGCTACCTCAGAGAGTAGAGAGATGCACGTGGGTAGTCACACCTTTAACACCTGAGAGTGACTCGGCTGTCAGGCAGCCATCCCTGCCCTCCCAGGTGTGTGGGAGACACCCTCCACACCTGAGGTCGCAGCAGGCTGTGGAGACCGGCCACTGCGGAGGGATCAGGAGGCTGTCACCTCTACGTCACTGTTCCATTTCAACCACTGCTAGGTACACAGTGTTTTCACACCCAGGACAAAGTTACAGGAAAATAATGTTGGTAGCCTTCCAGCGGTTTCTGTCCCAGACTCAGAACAAAGGCCCTTGAGAAGATGCATGTCGTGCCCTGGCCGGTTTGGCTCAGCGGTTAGAGCATCAGCCTGTGGTCCCGAGAGACCCGGGTTCGGTTCCCGCTAAGGGCATGTACCTTGGTTGCAGTTTGTCCCCGGCCCTGGTTGGTCGTGCGGGTGGCAGCCACTCGATGTGTCCCTTTCACGTCGCTGTTTCTCTCTCTCTCTCTCCCTCCCACTCTACCTGAACAAAAAATGTCCTCGGGTGAGGATAAAAAATAAAACAAAAATTAAAAAAAAAGAAAAGATGCATGTCGTGTACGCCGGGAGGGGCTCAGCGGCTAGAGCGTCGGCCCATAGACTGAAGGGTCACATGTTCGATTCCCAGTCAAGCGGGTGAACCTAGGTTGCAGGTTTGATGCCCAGACCCAGTTGGGGTGCAGGCGGGAGGCAGCCAATCGATGTGTCTCTCACTTCTCTCTCCCCCTCCCTCCCTCCCTCCCTCCACTCTCTCTAAAAATCAATGGGAAAAATGTCCTCAGGTGAGGATTATAAAAAAAAAAAAGAAGAAGCCAGAGAAAGATGGAGGCCCCAAATAATATTATATCAGAAGTAAGAGATCAATTCATTAAAAAATAAAAGCAGTGGGGTGGGGGGTGCCAATGGGGTAAAAAGGTAAAATATCTGTAACAAAAAAATAAAAATTCATAAAAAAAATAATAATAATAATAATAATAATAAAAAATAAAAGCAGTTGACAAAAAAATGCTCACAGTATAACTTTATATAAATCACCATCTCGATCTCATTTCAATAAAAGAGCAAACTGGCCACAACCCACACCAGCTGTCCTCAGCCACGCCCTGCAGCGACCCGTGACACAGCAGGTGCGAGCCCCGGTCAGCAGGACCCTCGCCCAGCTGCCTGCCGGAGGGCCTGGCACACGGTCACGGGAGGAGCAGAGCTGACGCGCCCCTCACCGGGACCCGCTGGGAGACTGTTCCACCCCATGGCACTGCGCAGGCTCAGGGCCCTTCCCGCGCCCGCCCAGGACCCCCGCACCTTGGTCTTGTCCTTCAGGTCCAGGGACTCCATGGGCTTGCCCTGCTGCTGCCCGAAGATCTCCAGCAGGTTGTCGTAGTTGGTGGTCAGCACCATGGTGCCCCGGTCCATCAGGCCGAGGATGGACTGCAGCACCTGGGGGCGCTCCAGGTGCTGCTCCAGGCTGTCGAAGACCTCCATCAGGCAGTCCTGGAAGAAGCTGGGCTTGCTGTCGCCTGTCCGCTGCGGAGGGAGCCGGAGTTACAGAACACACCTCAACAAGGTAAGATTCTGGGTGCTGGGATGGGGGGGGGGACCCTGACCTCACAGTCTGTTAAGCTCTAGAGGAGGAGACGGACACGCAGGAACAGTGGGACATCACCGGTGCTGAGTGCATTGGGGACGGTTCTGCTGGGCAAAGGGCGATGGGGGCAGCACCGGGGACTCTGAGTCCCAGACTGGAGAACACAGCAAGGGCCGAGGGAGCACGGCGCCCTCTGCAGGAGAGGAGTGCGGGGCCGTCAGCTGGTGGGGCCCAGGGAGAACCGGAACCAGGTCACCGGGGCCTGGAGGACCAAGGCAGGACTCCAACTACGAGCTCCCCTGCTGGTGGTCCGGGCAGCTGTGCCCCCAGGGCTGCCAGGCTCACTGGGCCAGTGAGATGTGGCCGGGAGCAGCGCCCAGGGCCACCGGTGCCCGTGACAAGAGCCACTGCAGTGCGGCTGGCAGGTGGGTTGGAGAGAAGCGAGCAATTGTCGGCAGAAAATAGGACAGCTCTTTTGACGAGCTCTGCTGGGAGGGGTCAGATAAACGGGGGCGGAAGCTGGGGGTGCGCTCCCAGTGAGACGCCCCGCCCAGCCACCTGCACAGGGACAGCAGGACGGACAGTGGAGCAGGACTGCATTCATACAGACCCCTCTGCCCGCCCCTGCCTCAGCGTGTCCAGCAGGAGTCACCCCTCCGTCCCTGCCTCAGCGTGTCCAGCAGGAGTCCCCCTCAGCGTGTCCAGCAGGAGCCCCCCCTCTGTCCCTGCTGGCGTCAGCTATCACAAGTCTCCCAGATCATCACCCATCCCACGCTCCAGGCACCCCTCTGACGCCCCCCCCATTCCCGAACCTGCCGCTGTTCCCAGCGGGTCTGTCATCAGTAAGCCCCACATCCCACCCCGCCTCCTCCCCACTGAACATAGGCTCTCTCACTCCCTGGACCAGAGGCGGGGTGCACCAGGTCACTGCGGAGTCTCCCCGCTGTGCCTGTCAGTCTGTTCTGGTGTCAGCCCCTTCAGGGGATCCCCACTGGGCTGCGGCACGCCTCCATCTCCCTCCTCCAATGAGCTGGTCCCAGCTCAGCCGTCACACTATGGCCACATCCCAAACACGACCACGACCAAGAGCCGGACCCTTTCCGGAACTTCTGCTCCAACCTCTCCATCCCATCGGCCCAGCTCCCAGCACTGCAGGCTCCCAGGACGCCAACCCCGTCAGAACCTGCAGGCCATGGGCCCGCTCCTCTGAGCTTGTCTCTCCCTCCCTGGCTGGCCAGCACTGTGACACCTCTCAGGCCTGCTGGCCCCTTCTCCCCACGACAGGGCCCGGCACGCTGCCTGTAGAGGACCAGAGAGAAACCACTCTGGGCTCCGCGGGCCAGTCTCTGTGCCACCACCCAGCTCCGCGCTGCAGCACGGAAACGCGTGGGCGCGGCTGTGTGCAGGAGCCTCAGCACAGGACGGGCAGCGGGCAGCGGGCAGCGGGCAGGGAGCGGGCTGGGCCCCCTGCGAGGCTCCTGCCTCACCAACAAAGCACCCACATTGGCAGAGTCCCCAGCTGCAGTACTGCCCAGCCCCGGGAAGCTGGGCATGGCCACGTGTGCGGGGGCAGAGTGATGAAGACAGAAGCGGTCCACATGACGTCCACACGGCCCCTTCCCCCTCGCGGAGTCACCGACAGCAGGCGTGGCCCACCCGCGGCAGGAGCAGGAGCTGGAGCTGCACAGTGGATGGCGCAGCCGAAGGGGTCAGCCCGGCCAGGCCGCCCGCTCTCCGGGGCTGCCTAGGACCTGCACGTGGTCCCACGGAAGCCGAGGGCTATGGGGCTCCACGGCAGCCTGAACCCTCCCCCTCCCAGGGGCTGCTTCCTTCTCCTGTGGTGATCCCCAACACCTATCCTGACCCCGGTTCTCAGCGAACACGGCGAGGAGAACCCGCCCCAGCCCCCAGGGTCCGGCCCCCATCGCGCACCGCCCGCAGCCGAGGGTGAGGCCCGCCTGGCTGTGCACCCGGAGGGCCCCGCTCCTGCACCAGCCCGGCCCCAGGCAGCCCTCAGCAGGTGTCTCGGGCAGCACCCAGCGCCCTCTCTACCTGGTCCTTTCCACCGCAGACAGAGAAGCCCCGCTTCTCCCGCCGTGACATGTCTCCAGGGCCCACTGGTCACCCGCAGAGAGGGGCTGGACACCGAGACCAGACACGCCGAGGGAAGCCCCCACCAAGCACGGGAGACGTAGGCTTGTTCCCAGTGCCGCGCCGGCATCCCTGCCGGTCTCACCGATTCGGGTTCATGGAACCTGGGCTGTAATTTTAGGGGCCCCCGCCCGTCCCGGGCATCACTGTTTAAAGAGACGAGGTTCTGATGGATTTAAAGATTTCTGGCTCCTCGGCCGACTCTGCTGAGGAAAGTCGCGGAGAATGTACACAGGGTCCCGGATTCCCGACCTGGCTCAGAACCACGTCCCCAGTGCACCTGAGAGCGACTTACAGGTGACATCTTCCGGATCAGATCGTGGGCGACAACCAGCAGGTCCCGGTCCTTCACCACCTTCCGGCGGAAATGGGCGACATCGCCGGGGTGCAGCACGTCCAGCTGCTCGGCTGCCTCGATGACCGCCTCCAGGCAGCTCCTCCACGAGCAGAGGGCGGGGATGCCCGGCGCCACCGCTGCACTGACGCCCGTTCCCATCACCAGCAGCAGCTCCTGCGGCTGCTTCTGGAGGAGGCTTTTTAGAAACTTTCTGCTTAAACACAGGGAGGGAGAGCAGTCAGCACGGAACACCGCACCGGGAAGAGCGCTGCGACCGAAGGCCTGGGCAGCGCTGGTCAAGTCCGGCCTGAGCCGTCCGCGCCTGTCGCCTGTCCCCTGACCCCCGCTACTGGGACACGAAGCGTTCTCCTTCCTCGTCTGGTCTGCGCATGCTCTGTCCTCATTCCACAAAGGGCCTGGGGACAGTGGTATCTGGTTCACCTTGAGCCCTGCGGGTTAAGCACTCACTGAGTGACATACATCACTGAGCAAGAAGCACAGCCACTCGAAGTCTCTGAAGCTGCCAAGAGCTTGCAATCAACTACGATGACGAAATGATCCCTGCTTCCCGTGACAGGTAAGATTCCGGCAAAATGCTGGTTTTCTGCCACTTATCAGTCCCAACCATTCCAGGGCACCTCCTGCCCCGCGTCCCTCTGTACGCGCAGGGACCTTCCCCGCGAGGCACGGCACCCCGGTCTCAGCGGGCCCTCTGGGCCTGCCGCCTGTGTGAGACCGGCTCGTGCTCACTTACTCGGGCGTTTCCGGCGCGGAAGCAAAGGACTGCACAGCCCCTGCCATCCGGACCCAGGGCGCTCACCTCACTGTCGCTGGGTAGGTGTGAGCACCAGAAGGAGACTCGTGACAGGCGCTGGGAACCTCACAAAGGTGGGGTTCCCTCTACTCACCTCGATTTTTGTTCACTCCTATTTATCGTCTTTTCTGGTGAATCCATCTGGGACCCTAAAGAGAAAAACTCGTCAGAAGAGACTTGTTTCCCAGACGAAAGTTCTTTCGTCAGTACCCTGGGGGAGACTTAAGGCCGGAACTAAAACCAAAGGTCCTGGGCATCCACTGAGACTGGAACACCTGCCCAGCCGGTGGCTCAGCGGCTGAGCTCATCCCAGGGACTGAGAGGTCACTGGTTCGAGTCCCGGTCAGGGCACAGTCCCAGGTTTTGGGCTTGATCCCCAGTTGGGGGCGTGCAGGAGGCAGCCGATTGATGTTTCTCCATTTCTCTCTGTCTCCCTCCCTCCCTCTCTCCCCCTCTCTCTCCTTCTCTCTCCCCTCTCTCTCCTTCCTCTTTCTCTAAAATCAATAAATATCTCCTCAGGTGAAGATTTTTTTTAAAAAGTCAAAGGTCGCCCTGGCCGGTTTGGCTCAGCAGTTAGAGCGTCGGCCTGCAGTCCTGAGAGACCCGGGTTCGGTTCCCGCTAAGGGCATGTACCTCGGTTGCAGTTTGTCCCCGGCCCTGGTCAGTTGTGCGGGTGGCAGCCACTCGATGTGTCCCTTTCACATCGATGTTTCTCTCTCTCTCTCTCTCTCTGTTCCTCTCTCTCCCTCCCACTCTACCTGAGCAAAAAATGGAAAAATGTCCTCGGGTGAGGATAAAAAAAAGAAAAGTATAAAAAAGTCAAAGGTCAATTCTTCACTTACACAAAACAAGAACTTAACCCAGCTAGGTCTCCACGGCCAAACTATCTCCACATTCTATCACTTTTCCAGAATCACATTTTCCCCCTAATTCCAGAACTATTTACTGGAAACAACAAAATATACAGGAAAAATAAAGTTTAAAAAGCCCATGCGCAATAGCTGTTATTAACATTTCTGTTTCCCTCTATGTATTTCACTTGAAATGTTTCAATAGTTCACATCCTACTTTTTCACATGGAAAAGATTCCCACTCACAGTGGAATGGCCGCCCCCAGAACCCAACCGTATCGAGACACCATCATTTACTTGATCTCTACTCCATGCAGGCCGTTACCGTAACACCAACCCCACCTTGGGCCGTTACCGTAACACCGACCCCACCTTGTGCAGTTACCGTAACACCGACCCCCACCTTGTGCCGTTACCGTAACACCGACCCCCACCTTGTGCCGTTACCGTAACACCGACCCCCACCTTGTGCCGTTACCGTAACACCGACCCCCACCTTGTGCCGTTACCGTAACACCGACCCCCACCTTGTGCCGTTACCGTAACACCGACCCCCACCTTGTGCCGTTACCGTAACACCGACCCCCACCTTGTGCCGTTACCGTAACACCGACCCCACCTTGTGCAGTTACCGTAACACCGACCCCCACCTTGTGCCGTTACCGTAACACCGACCCCCACCTTGTGCCGTTACCGTAACACCGACCCCACCTTGTGCAGTTACCGTAACACCGACCCCACCTTGTGCAGGCCGTTTCTGTGTCTCTGAAATGATTTACTTAAGAGAGGTCTCTGAGAAGCAGGCTGCTGAGCTCCAGAGTGGGACGCATCACCCCCTTTCCAGCCGGCAGCCCGTGGGGTCCCCGTGCAGCAGCCCCACCCGCATGGCCTGGAAACCACCCTTTTAGATCTTTTCTTCAGCTAGAATCAGGTCACCTGCAATAACTTTCCAACGTGAGCGAACATGGCTTAATCAGTTTCTAAGTGTCACTACCTTTCCGAGCAAGTGGGAACCTACAAATGTCCCCTGAAAATGTTCACACTTTGTCACTAGGCGCCACCCCAGGAGAAAGGACTCAGAGCATCCATCAAACCCCCAAAGTACCTGTGACTTTCCCCCAGGTGTGAAGAAACCAGTCCCCATGCCATGAAGAGGGGGCTCACAGACGCCTGCCGGCTGCCCAAGGGGGAGCAGGGGCAGGGCGGTCCTGAGCCTGGGCCCTGGCCCACCCCCTTCCCGCTGCGAGTCACTATCAGAACCACGACGGTCAGATCGGCGTGGGGCTGTCTGGAACCTACTGGGACTCTCTAAGGGAAGTAACAAATGCTGTGGTTCCCACTGTGCACGCAACCTGGGGCCCAGCCCTGGGGTTTCAATGGCTCACCTACTCACCAACCTCAGTTTAACAGGCACAAAATATGAGTTCTTGCGAACTGACCAAGTTTTGAAAGCTCAATAGGAGCAGAGCTCTGGACATTCAAACTGCTAAGTGCTCCCACCAACACACCCCCTTTCTTAACACACCCCCTTTCTTAACCTCCCGCGCAGGACAGAACTCAGAATCATTCCTAGTCAACCCTCCTTTTTTAAATTAAATTGATTGGGGTAACACTGGTTCATAACATTACACACATCAACCTCAGGTGTTCACCTTTGTAACATCTGTACACTCTACTGTGTGCTTGACTTGAAAAGTTAATATGAGATGCTTATCAGTGGACTAATCCAATTGCCCCCACCCCTGCCCCCCAAATAATTCACAACACTGTAATGGTTGCCCCTTCCCACCTATGAGAAGTAGTCTTTTATCTCAGCCTTCTCTACACAACACATTTTAGTAAAAATATTTTTTATACAGTCACTGGTCAACCAAAGACTTAAGAAATACCCAAAATTGTTTCTGTGGTAAAGAACTTTGAAAATCTAGCTCATACCCTGGCTGGTTTGGCTCAGCAGTTAGAACATCGGCCCTGGGCCGCAGGTCTGATCCCCGGCCCCAGCTGGGGTCCTGAGGGAGACAATCAATTGATGTGTCTTTCTCACATCCATGTCTCCCCCCAACCCCCCCCCCCCCCTTCCACTGTCTCTGAAAATCAATGGAAAAGTATTCTCTGGTGAGGATTAACAACAACAACAAAAATCTACGTCGCCCTGGCCAGGTGGCTCAGTTGGCTGGAGCATTCTCTGTGCAACAAAAGGTTGCAGGTTTGATTCTCCATCAGGGCACATATCTAGGTTGTGGATTAGATCCCAAGTCAGGGGTGTATGAAAGGCATCTGATGGGTCTTTTCTTCTCTTCTCTTTTCTTTTCTTCTCTTTTCTCTCCACCCCCCCCCCCTTCCTCTCTAAAATCAATAAAAACATAGATATCCTCTGTTAAGGATTGAAAAATAAAAAATCGATTAATTAAAAATTTTAAATAAAAATTGATCTCTAGCCCGGCGGTGTGACTCAGTGGTTGAGCGTCGACCCTGCACCAAGAGGTCGCCAGTTCGATTCCCGTTCAGGGCACATGCCCAGGTTGTGGGCCCGATCCCCGGGGGGGTGGCGTGCAGGAGGCAGCCAGTCAATGTTCTCTCTCATCAATGTTTCTATCTCTCTCTCCCTCTCCCTTCCTCTCTCTCTAAAAAATCAATACAGAAAAAAAGAAAAAAAAATCTATCTCTAGCTCTTTCTTTTTTTTTTTTTTTATCCTCCCCGGAGAACATTTTCCCATTTTTGTTCAGATAGAGTGGGAGAGAGAGAGAGAGAAACATCAACGCGAAAGGGACACATCGAGTGGCTGCCTCCCACACTACCTCAACCGGGGCCGGGACAATCTGCAACCGAGGTACATGCCCTTAGCGGGAACCGAACCCGGGTCTCTCTGGACTGCGGGCTGATGCTCCAACCACTGAGCCAACCGGCCAGGGCTCTCCCTGGCTCTTTCAGTTACTGTTCAGCTGCTTGGATCCTCCACACCCGTGGCTCCAGCGACAAGCTGGGAACTAAATGCTACATTCACACGTTTGCAGAAAGTATGAACATGTCAGCTCGGATGGGCTGGACCTGCCACCACATGAAGTGACTTCAAAGCTCCCCAAAGGAACAAGTCCTACTCTGACCCGAGCGCCCGGGGCGCGGGCTGCCCCGCGCTGTGCTGCTGGCTAGTGCTCAGACCTCCCGGGCCTGCGCTGGCCGCTCCGCTTCAGACAGAACCACTCTAGACTGCGACACCACATCCACCCTGAAGGGTCAAAGTGGCCAACGTGGGAAGTACCCAATTATCCTCAAACTCAACACAATAGCTCTGCAATGAGCTGCATAGCTGCCCATATTTGGACATTTCCAGTTCACAGCAACATGACATGTTGAAGATATTACCTCATTTCCTGTTCTCCCAACAGCACAATCACCGGGGCCACATTTTACAACCCAGAAAGGATTCCAGGCCTCTCCTGGTTTGTAAACCAAGGGCCAAGCAGGAGATAGCTGAACAACTAGTCCTGGGTCCCAGGAGCTTTGGGAGGACAGCAAGCCAGTGTCCGCTCCCATCCCCAGCGCCGTTCGTCTAGGCCAATCAGAGTCCAGACAACAGTAACAAAAGCCCTCAGAAGCCTGTGGAAGCTGCATCTTGTGGTTTCCTTGGCGATCGTGTCGTCACCAAAGTGTGCGGCCCCCTGTCAGGTCATCATGGCAACCCATTTTTCAAGGACCTCTGGGCGAGTTCCGAAAGCGCGATCCAGCCCCGGCACGGGTGACCAGTTCCTGTCCTTGTTCTCTAAGGCCATCAAGAAGTTCCAACAGGATGTCTTCTGCTTAAAATTTGAGATTAGGAGTATCTTTTTTTTTAAATGTGTTTTTATTGATTTTTTAGAGAGAGGGGAAGGGAGACAGAAACATCAATGTGAGAGAGAAACATCGATCAGCTGCCTCCTACACGCCCCCTACAACCTGAGCATGTGCCCAACTGGGAATTGAACTAGGACCTCTCAGTCTAAGCGACTGACATGCTCAATCCACTGAGCCACACCGGCCAGGCGAGATTAGGAGTATTTTATGAACTAGCTGCAGAGTAACCGGAGACTGCCTTACTTTTGAACCCAGCACATTTAAAATACATGTTCACCCACACAAGAGAGTGAACTACAAACACCAAACTTGTCATTTACAGCTGGCAAAGCAAAGCCCCCTCCCTCACTCCCTAACCCCACCTGGGGAGACTTAATGACGGTCCCACCTCCTGGTAACCACCCACAACACAGCTTTGTACAGCCCCTCACCCACAGAGGCTAGGCTTGGTCACGCGACTTCCTTGGCCAATGGGATCGCAGCAAGCAAGAGTTTGCTAAGCCTTTGGCATTGGAGCCTGCGGTCCTGGAACTCTGACTTGCAAAGCCCAGTCTAGCCTCCTGCGGGGGTGACCAGCAGTGATGAGCCCAGGCACGCGAGCTAACAACCCAGCACCACCCACCGGACCTGTGACAGGCTACCTGGGACTATCCAGGCCAGTCATGCAGCCAGATGACCACGGTCACATGAGCGACCCCAGCAAGGCCAGCTAGAGACAAAGACCTGCTGAACCAGGCCAAGGCCCTGGTCTCTAGACCTGGCAGGTGTCTGCACAGCCATGAAGATTAGAAGGATAAGAAAAGAAGAAGACAAAGTGTCAAGGGAAAAAAAGTATCCCACAGAAGAAATGATACACAAATGTGCTCCTCACAGGAGAACTGAGATTTGGAAATACCAGTTTTAAGTCTGATCCACGTAACCAGGGTCGTCCTAAGGACTGGAAGGGCCTCAGCAGAGGCCACAGCCCATCAGTTGCATTCTGACCGCACCTGGCAGGTCTGGCGGCCTGGGAGCCACAGGGCAGGCACTTCCCACACCTGGGCCCGGACACAGGCAGGTCCTTAACACCATCCCTCCCATTCCTCCAGGATTCCCACAACTGCCCTTGCCAAGGCAACCTGGTTCCCGTGTAGAGTCGGGAGGGGCACAGCAGACAACCACTGGCAAGGGCGAAGCTCCCAACGCCTCTGCGAGCACAGGCGAATGCCCTGTGATGGGTTCACGTGCTTCTGGGAGTTTGAGCAGCATGACTAGGTTCGCCTGAGCTGGAAACAGGTGCACAGGGACAGAGAAGCCTCCGGACAGCAGGGTCGCAGCTCCTCCGCCACAGGAGCACTGGCCCTACGGCGGGGAAGACGCAGGTCTGCAGGAAACACCGCCACTTCCCAGCCGGGAGACCTCTCTGAGCCTCAGTTTCCCAATCTGTCCATGGAAATTCCAACGCAGTCCATTTCAAATGACTGCATTGCTGGGCCAACTTCAGTGAGTTGAATATAAAATGTTTACCAGTTACTATAAACCAGTTCAGCAGCAGCAGCTTCCAACTTAACTTTCCCAGGGCAGTCACCAGAACTCCATGGTAACTACTTCCAGGGGCTGGGGTGGGGGAGGTAGAAGGGTACAGGGGAGATAAATGATGATGAAGAAAGATTAAATTTAATTTTTAAAAAATGTAACTACAGTTCTGGTAAACATAACCCCAACCATTACAACCTTTGGAATGCACTGTTTTCTTCGATTTACAGAAAACACAAAACCTTAATTTGAACAGATGCTACTACACTGATCACTTTCATTCAGTCAAAGTGAATGACGATGGAGGAAATGCTTACTTTGTAATAATCAAAATGTGTTCATGTGCTTCCTGAAACCAGTGCTCTGAACAGGCGTGTGGGCGTGAATGCTCAGACCAGAAAGGAACAAAACCCACCATGAACACACACATGCAGAGGTCACAGTTTAATTCAGAAATCAACTTTAATTACTGACACTTTCGGTGCCCTTATTAGACTCAAGGGAAAGTAGTGAGCACGTCACACCCATTATCTCACTTAATCCTCTCAATGACCCTATGAATGGGCCCTAGTTATTCCTGATCACTTGACCAGGCTCACATCCAACCCTCCGAAGAGGCCAACCGCCACAGTAAACTCAGCCTTGCACGTTTTCTTCTAACATTAGTGCGGCTCAGATGGCAGACAAATATACCTGACATTTTACTAGGAACCCTGCCAACTGCTAAATCATTAACTGCTCTACAGCCTCTCCATCAGTGGTGACACGTTGCATAATTCAAGTAGACGTGTTTCTTAACAATAAAGCAATACTGGTAAAACACACCAATTCAGAGGCCAAAGGTACCCTGAAGCACCAGCGCTCATCCGGTACCAAGGAAACAAGAGATGCTCTAGAAAACAAACCTCCCACTCAACTTAAAGTGACAGGACCCTGGAGCTGTAGGGATCGTAAAGGTTGCTCGATGCCAAACACCCTTGTTCTGTAGCAGTGAACACTGAGACTCAGAGATGTGCTGACTTGGCCGGTCCCCCAGGAGTTAGGAGCAAGTCGTCAACTACTCCTGGCTCAGGTTCTATCAGCTTGCCACTATCCTGGGCATTTCCTGGTCCACTGTGACTCCAAAACCTCACCTAAGGCCTAATGTCTACCACGTTTACCACCAAATCATTGACCAGAGTCCGGGGAACACTGAATCTTTACCAGTAACGAGCCAGACAGCTTGGCTGGCTGCAGTTTCACCTGCAGCCTCAATTTCCAAAACCCCAGAGAACAGCCAGCAGGAAGACGTCAGAGGCTGCAGGAAGAAGCCTCGGGCAACGCAACCAGCTCGGGACAGTTTTCTGTTTGGTCTTTGCTGCTGAGCACATGCCTTAGCACACGGAACAAATAAGGAGGGCTAAGCGGGGACAATGCCACCACTCAAGAGGTCTTCATGCCCCTGGCAAGGGGACACCCCAGGCTCCCTGGAGGAAGGAAGTTAAACACCCGGGTTCTCCTTGTACCACTTAATATAGGGGTAAGTTACCACCTCCGAGCTCCTTCCTTTATCTGTACAAAAGGAATAATATCTTAAACCTCACAGGACTGCTGGGAACACAAGAGAGTTGGCATTTCAAAGAACAAAACTGAGCCCTGGCCAGTTTGGCTCAGTGGTTAGAGCGTCGGCCTTGGGTCCAGAGAGACCCGGATTCGGTTCCCACTAAGGGCACGTACCTCGGTTGCAGTTTGTCCCCAGCCCTGGTTGGTCATGCGGCTGGCAACCACTCGACGTGTCCCTTTCACGTCGATGTTTCTCTCTCTTTCTCTCCCCCCCCCCCACCCTATCTGAACAAAATATGGAAAAATTTCCTCAGGTAAGGCTAATAATAATAATAATAAAAGAACAAAACTGGCCTGTGTTTCTCAGTGGTTAGAGCATTGGCCCACACACCAAAGGGTCTCCTGTTCAATTCTCAGTCAAGGGCACATACCTAGGTTGCAGGTTCAACCCCCAGCCCTGGTCGGGGCGCATGCAGGAAGCAACCAATTGATGTGTCTCTCCCACATCAATGTTTCTCTCTCTCTCTCCTTCCCTTCCACTAGGTCTAAAAATCAGTGGAAAAAGTATTCTTGGGTGAGGATTAACAAAAACAATCTTCTCTCCTCTTCTAAACCTTTCCACGGTCTCCCTTAACCTGACAAATCTCCATGCCTCCGGAAGTCCTCATGCTCTCGTCTTGACTCCCACAGCCTGCCCTCTCCTGCCACTCACGTCTCAAGCGCTGCCCTCTGCCAAACTTCCCAGCTTCTCCCATCGAGGTCTCCCCTCCTCGGAACACTTCCCTCACCCCTCCCTCCACTGGGCTCCTCTCTTCCTTCAGCCTTGGGCTGGATCGTCCCTGACTCAGGGCAATGGAAGGGGCCAGGGCACGGGGCCCTCAGGAACAAAGCTGGGTTCCCCCCATTTAAGAACCCTCTCCTACCACCCTGAGAACCTCTTCCGTTGCGGGAAGCAATATCTCTCCAGCCACCCCCCGGGATGAATCTCTTCTCCAGTCATACTGCTTGCTTTCCAAAATCCGATGTGCTTCGTAGCACGCCTCCGGCCTTTTCACACTCAATGACTCGCAAACTTCAACCTCAACCTCCAAGAATCAGCTCACCTGTTACGGGTCACTTCCTCCTTAACACCCTTTCTGAGAATCCGACCCCCACCCCGGCTCAGCTCAAGGTCACTGCACTGCTATTATCACCATATAAAAACTTCCTATTTGCTTCCTCACCCTCCTCCAAAGAGGCCCTGGGCGCAGGGGCCGAGTTGTCTCCAAGTCCAGCCAATTTGTGGAAACCCGAGCTTTCAAAAACGAGTGAGTTCCAGGAGTGAAAAGCTAAGAGGAGGAGACAACCTCCAAGCATCTCTACTTGCCCCTCACGTACTTAGTTCAACCTCCCTCCCCATCAGATCCGACTCCAGACTCTCCTTGGGCCATACGAGTCTCACCAAAGAGCATTAAAAGTTAAACACCGTCCCTGCTGTGGCCTCGATGCAACAGTAAACACAAGGCAGACGTGGGCGCGGGGAGCACCGCCCCGCTTGCTTACAAAGGGTCGGCAGTGGGCCGCTTGTTCGGGGTACCAAGAAGTCACCGTCCGAGGGCACTCTGCTGACGCCCGCGGGCCAGGGACCCCGGCGACACGCGCCGAGACCCGCGTGCGGAGGGGGCTCAAGGCGGGCTGGACCTGGGCAGGGGCGCGCAGGGCGGCGGCCGGGCACCGGGCGCGAGGGGGAGGTGGCACCGAGGCGGGCGGGGGCGGGAAGATCTGGGGGTCCTGAGCGTATCTTTAGAGGGTCCTGAGGGGCCTCGGTGGTGGGAGGCCGTCTGGGAACTTCGGAGTCTCGGGAAAATCCTTAAGGGTTTCGGGGTTAGAAGAGTCCTGAGGGTGGCAGGGGCCAGAGGTGGCCGGGGACCCCGACAGGACCAGGAGACCGGGGTTTCCGAGGGAAGGGGGAGCGGGGCTGCTGGGCACCGAGGCCTGCCCGGGTCGTGGAGGTGCCCGAGGATCCCGACAGTGTCAGGGGGCCGGGTTCCCCAGGGGCCGAGGCGCACCCTGAGGTCTCGGGGTCCTGATGGCCTCTCCACCCGGGGTCGCTGGATCCCGCCTCCCCCGCCTCTCACCTGCGGTGGGAGCCCGCGCTCCCGCCGCCTCCCCCGCTCCGCGGTCCGGGTCTCCGCCGTCCGGGCGGCCGCTCGCGCTGGGCGGGGCCGGACGGGCTGCGGTGGGGGCTGCGCGCGCACGCGGGAGGCAGCCGCAGCGGATGCCGCCCGCCCCCTGCCGCGACTCCCACGGTGGCGGCCGGCGCCGCCGCTATGGCTTCCCCCGCGCGCCCGCGGGCGCCGCGCGAAGGTTCCGCCCCGAAAGCAACGGTCCTGCGGAGGGCGGAGCCAAGGCTCGCGCCCGCGCCCGCGCCCGCCCCCGCCCGGCGTGGCTCCGCCCTCCACGGAGGCCCCGCCCCTGGGGATCTCGGGCGCAGGTGGGTCGCGTGCGCCAAGAGACCCCTTGCTCTGAGCCTGCGTCTGAGCCGCATCTGTCCGCGATCGCCGCGCGAATCGGGTTCCTCCTCTGCAAAGTGGGGGGGCGCCCCACGCGGGGACGTGGCGAGCATTAAGTGCGGTCGGGAGCGCCCCTCTGCAGCACCCCGCACCGCGCTGGCCTCGGGTCCCAACACGCCCTGCTTCCCAACGACCCCTGCCCACCTAAGTTCGCCACCAGCTCCCCCAGCCTTTCCTTGGAGCCCTCACCACTGTCGGGAAGTCGCTGCTCCCTCCCCTCGCGTGAGCGCGGACCCCGTCAGCCAAGTCCCCCCGGGCCCCGAAGCAAGAACGCTGCAGGGCCCAGGATCCCGTCCAAACGTTTATGGACGCGAGTGGCCTCCTAGTGTGCTCCTGTTACCAGAGGGATGAGGAGACCTTGATCTTATCATCTTGAAGCAACGATTTCAATCAAGAGACAAAGCTTACAAAAGCAAGCAAGAATTTATTGATGGCAGCAGAAACACACTGAGGACAGAGAAACAAGGAAGGACGTGGAAGAAGCAACAGGGGAGGCTGGGCTGCCTCGGCTCACTGGGAGTCAGCGCAAAGGGGGCCTTGGGGACAGGTGCAGGGACTTAGCCCAGGAGGAGCTGCTGCTGCCCATTGCTCCCCAGGTTGCAAGTCTGGGGGCCCTTGGAGTTTAGGAGATGCATGCCTGTGGGGGAAGGAGTGGGGGAAGGGAACAGCAAGAGCATGCTCCCTGCAGGAAGGACACACTGGGACCTGGGACCTTCTTTCCCAAGGATTAAAAAAAAAAAAATTTTTTTTCTTCATTGCTTTTAGAGAAAGAGAGAGAGAAACATCATTTGGCTGCCTCCTGCATGCCCCCACTGGGGATCGGGCCCACAATCTGGGCCTGTGCCCTGATCAGGAACCAAACTGGTGACCTCTTGGTTCAGGGGTCAATGCTCAACCACTGGGCCACACTGGCCAGGGCTTTCTCAGGGGTTTTAAAGGCTGAGTATTTAGGGGAGGGTCAACAGAATATGCATCAGTTTTATGCTGATATACCAAAACAAGATTTATTCTCTTAATTTGTCTGCCCTTGGGTGTGGTTGGCAAATGGCACTAATTGGATTTGTGCTGTCTGTTTCCCTGGGAAGGGTGATTTAAGCTACTTACCCTCTGGTTGGGGAGAAGGGCAAACCATTTACCCTTTTTTTTTAAATCCTCACCCGAGGACATTTTGCATGTATCTTCAGATAGAGCCAGAGGGAGAGAGGGAGGAAGAGAGAGAGAGAAACATCGATGTGAGAGTGACACATCGAGTAGTTGTCACCCACATGACCCCAGCTGGAGCCTGGAACAAACTGCAACCGAGGTACGTGCCCTTAGCAGGAACTGAACCCGGGCTTCTCTGATCTGTAACCACTGTGCCAAACCGGCCAGGGCGAGCCATTTACTCTTAAGTGTCTCTGGTTTAGGGAAGATGGGGCTGACTAGGTGGCTGCAAACCGCTCTTTAACTATATGTCTTAGTTTCCTATCCCACTTGTCCTGGAGTTTTCCTAGCTTCTTGCCATTTTATAACACTTCCCTCATCAAGAAATTGTTTCCTTCCAAGGCTGATAATAATAGGGCCAGCTTGAGTTTGGAGCCCATCAGGCCCTGTGGCCTCTTGCCCATCCGTGCACAGGTTCCATGTCTGTACGACGGGGTGATGCTAGTTCCCACCCCTGGGGGTGGTTGAGAGGCCTAAATGAGTGGGCGTGGCACAGGGGCATACAACTGGATTAGTGTGCCCCAGTGATCAGATGGTTCTAGTGGTCTCCTCCCCCCTTACTCTGCCACTGCAGTCTTTCTGTGCCTGAGTAAACTTTCCTGTTCAGGATCAAAAGCCACTTACTCGCCCAGGCAGTGTGGCTCAGCGGATTGAGTGTCCTCCCACGGACTGAGAGGTCTGGGTTCCATTCCTGTCAGGGCAGGTGCCTGGGTTGCAAGCTCGATCCCCCAGTAGAGGGCATGCAGGAGGCAGCCGATCCATGTTTCTCTCTCATGGATGTTTCTCTCTCTCTCTCTCTCTCTCTCTCCCCCCTTTCCTCTCTCTAAAAAATCAACAAAAACTTTTTCTTTTTAAGCCACTTCCTCTGCCCAGCCTTCCTCAGCCTGCCCTCCTGCCCTGCCCAAGCCAACCAGAGTTAATGATCATTTCCTCTCTCCTTAGCACGTTTATTTCTGCCTGGTTTATAAATTGGCTGTTAACATCCCCCAACCCACACAGAAGCCTCCTGTTTGTGAGGGAAGCTGTGCTGGCGAGTTTCAGCAGCCTGTGAACTTTAGGGGGCGTGGAGCCCAGGACACTGTGGGGCCAATGACTTGAGAGTGAACGAGGCAGGCGGGGCTTCCTGTGCAATGCCAGGCTCTGGCCTGAGCACTTTGTACCTGTCCCTTCACTTAGTCCTGGGAACAACCCTGTGAGGAAGGTGCCATCCTTGTTCCAGTTTGGCGGGAGGAAGCTGAGGCCCTGCAAGGTGCCCAGGCAGACCCATGCTACAGCCCACACTTAACCACCACGCATGCAGCTTGCCATCCTCTGGATGCAGGGTTGAGATGCAGTACAGTTCAGTTCATGCTCACCTACTCCTGTGCTGAGTGACGGGCACCCAGACCTGCAGGAGACCCCAGCACGGACCTTGAAAAGCATGGCCCTGTGGGGCAGGTGCTGTCAGAGACCAGACCCACGGTGCAGAGGGGTCCCGGGCGGGGGACATCCCAGCGCAGGCTGGAAATCTCAGCCTCTCTACCCAAAAAACTCAGCCCAGCAGCCTTAGGGGCATAAGGCCAGGAGAAGGACGCCTTAGAAATAGCCCCGCCCCCGCCCCCGCCCCTGCCCCCATCCAGGTGAGACACAGCTTCTCTCAAGCTGCCAAGCTGTGGAAAATTACTGAGAGGCCTTGCCACCTGGCCGTCTTGAGCATGCTCAGAGTAGATAAGAGGCTGGCACAGTAGGTTGGCAAGGGCGGCACGGCACTGGTGTGCGGGTGTGTCACACTGCTGAATGCTGCAGGTGTAGGCGTCCATGTCCCAGCGTCCACCAGCCCCCACGAGCACGTCTTAATCAGTGAACGAAGGGGTAAGGGTGTGTGTGCTGCCCCGAGACACCAGTGTGTGTGGAAGGACATGCGTGTGCGCGCGCATGTGTGTGCTAACTCTTCATGTGCACGTCTTCCTCCCCACACTCACTTGTGCAGTAGGCATCACTATTCCCCTTTAACGGGCTGAGAACACAGAGGACTCACCATAACGAGGCCACGCGGAAGGTGCCATTGGAATGGCTGGCAGTGCTGTGTGGCCACAGAAGGTGCTTAAATTGGGAGAAAAGAGAGAAGGGACAGAGTCCCAGGCAGGGGCACTCCAAAGAGAACAGAAAGACACCAGGGACCACCTGACCGTCCTTCCACCCTGGAGAGGAGAGACCCGCAGCATAAGACACAGATGCCCTGCAGCCCTGGACCACGGCCTCAGACAGAACACACCACACCCTCCGGCTGGGCGCGTGTCCCCGCCTTACACATGCATGCTGCGGACACCCTCATGCAAAAGGCATACATTAAGCCTGTTGGACACACACACACACACACACACACACGCGCGCGCGCACACACACACACACACCATCAGTTTCCCACAAACCCCAGTATGCCCCACCCCTGGGCTGCAGCCTAACGGACTGCGATGCCCTCGTTGGGCAGCAGGTGGGGTGAGTGGGGCTCCAGCGGCACTGCCAGCCCGAGAAGGGAGGAGGGCAGCCTGGCCAGCGCATCTTGAAAAGGAGGTTCATTAACCAGTGTCACCCCCAATAAAGTCAGTTTTTTAAAAACGGGGGAACAGGAACAAGCTCTGTGCAGTGTATCAGTAGTAACCCCCGGGATTGATAGAATCAAGCTCGAGTTGCCTGAGACGTTCACATGAGGAGATGGGGTGAAGGCTACACTGACCTCCCTCTACCTTTTCGCCAGCATCCAGCAAATCTATAGTTATTGCAAAATGAAGGTGGGTTGTTGTTTTTTTATGCTACAGTCGCCTCGGGAACCAGTTTGGCAGTTTCTTCACAAATGAGTCATGCACATGCCCCGCCGCCCCGCCACCCGCACCTGGGTGTGCAGAAGTAGCAGCAGGTGCCCACGAGGCCGAGAACGGTCGGCAGCTCCGCTGAATTCCCCGACCTGGAAACGACCCACACAGGTCGCACGCACGAGGTCAGGGAGCCCAGAGAGTCACTTCCTTGCCCCAAGTCACACAGCATGGCCGCAGCGATCAGCTGCTGAACCATGACTGGGGGAGGGACAGAAGGGCATCTGTGCAAGCTCAGCTCCGAAGGTCCTGCCGGCTCAGCCGCGGGGACGGGGAGCCTTCAGATTCCGAGAAGTGAGCGAGAGAGATGGCTCCCCTGGGTGTTCATAATTAGAACTTTCTGTGGAGCCTGAGTCCAGCCCAGAGCCCACGAGCCAGCATCTCCCACCCGCCCCTGCCCACCGGCTTGGCTCCTTCTTCGGAGACTGGATGGAGCAGCGTGCGCCCCTCCTGTCCTCCAGCAGCACCCAGAATCCACCGTCACTCGCTGGAAAATGATGGTGCGCCCTCTCCCTGGTGCCGCACTGAGCGGGAGCTGCAGTGACCGGGACCAACGGAAGGAGGAGGGGCTGTTTGGTCTGCAGAAGCGTGGGGGTTGGGTTTAGGGGACACAGAGTAGCACCTGCCACTGTCTCAGTGACAGCGCGGTGCTGGGACTGAGGAAGAGAATAGATGTCGGAGACAGCAGGGTCAGCCAGGGGAGCTGGCGGGTAAGGATCGCTTCCCGACGAGTCCTTCCTGCCTCTCCGGTTGTCCCTCCTCCGGGCCCCAGAGCAGAAGGGGCTCTGTCCTTGACCGTCTGTGTCACCCCTGACCGAGGACAGCCAGTCCCAGGCCTCCCAACACCAGCTCTGAGAGCACATCAGAGAGCCTCGCTGGGTGCGCTCCGGGACTGTTACAGCTGACAGACCCGTCACATCACACAAACACCGAGTCCCTTTTAGACTCAGACAGCAAGAGAAAGATGAACAAAGATGCCAGCTCCCTGCCTTCCTCCTCCCATGGGCCGAGGCCGAAACCAGTGACAACTGCCCCCCGGAAGGGGACACCCTGCTGCTGAGCTGACAACTGCTTTGGCTTCTCCAGACCCCTCCCAGCCTTTAGGCTCCTTCTCAAGGCCTCTGCTGCCTGACGTTGCAGCTTGGGGATCCCCCTTGTGCTGTGTGCCCCGAGCCCCCCCAGGGCCCCCTGGAGCACCCGTCATCCTGCTGGGCTTGTTCCTGCTCAAACCAACCCCGCGGACAACCCTCTTCTCCTTTCGGTGGGGAGCGGACTGGTCTCGCACCTTCTGCAAGAGGGGAGCAGTCTTGCTACCTGGCCCAGCAGACGGAACTAAGGCATCTGAGCGGAGACCTGGGGCTGGAGAGCCCCTTCACCCCCGAGTGAACTCGGCACCCTCCTCTGTGTCCCCGCAGCCTTTTCTGTCCTCCCGCTGGGACCGGAAAGCATGGAGCCCGGGCTTCCATGGCCTTGAAAAGAACCGTCTACTTCAGCCCATTTCACAGATGAGGAAGCTGAGCCAAGAGAGAGATGGCTGCAGAGAGGACAAGGTGTGCCACCGGCAGAGCTGGTTTCCAGCATGAGGCCAGCAAACCCCAGACGACATCCAATAACTGCACGTACGGCCTGTCTCGGGGGATCCCTGAGGCTCACGCGAGGTGATCACAGAGGACCTGAGCTTCCTGTTTCACAGGGTGAGGTCAGACCGCCAGCTGTGACAGCCCTGACAATCCGTCCCCTGCCTCCACCCTCCACAGAAACAACCCAGCCACTCAATACGCATGGACTCATCCATGCATCAGCTCACTCACTCCGGAAGTCAGCAGTTCTCCACCTGTGGGTCGCAACCCCTTTGGGGATCCAACCACCCTATCACAGGGCCTAAGACATAACAGGAGCAAAATTACAGTTATGAAGTAGCAACGAGAATAATGTTATGGTTGGGGTCACCATAACATGAGGAACAGGATGAAAGGGTCGCGGCATTAGGAAGGTTGAGAACCACGGGTAAGTCTTTATTGATCTCAGATTCTTGGGAAGATTTTATCCAAAGCTTTCCTGCAGTTGGACCAACGGGCCATGTTTCGCCGTCGGTGGGGTCAGGGTGTGCTCACTGGCTGCCCCAGCTCCCTCCAAGGCCCGAGGGCAGAAGGCCGCCAACCAGGACCGGCCTGGCTCAGTCCTGGAGTTTGCTGGCATACACCTCGGCCCTGTCCAGGGGCAGCCCCCGGTTCACAGACGCGTACGAAGGCTCCGAGGTCCCTCGGGACTTAGGGACGGCCTCCTGGGTGATCTGGGAGTCGTGCGTGGTTTCCCCGTCAGAACCGCCCATGTCCCTGACCAAGAGGATGGAGAGAGCAAGGGTTAGGGGCGCAGAGTGGGCGCAAACCCCATTTGCTGGCCAGGGACCTTTCTCCTTGGACACTGCTTTCAGAGACGCCATCTGGGGCATTCATTCCATAGACCAGCCTTCCCAGGGCATTAACTATGTGCCAGGTCCTGGGATGAGGGAAGTACTGCCCTTGGAGCCAACAATCTACAGGTTTTACTGTGGGCTGAGCCCTTGGAGGCCACTGCCCCATCCCTAAAGAGCTAAGACTGTGCGGGGAGACAGACTACAGCAATGCCCAGACAGAATGCACAAATCCAGGTGGGAGCCACCGGAGGGCTCCCTGGAGGAGGAGGCAGTTACTCTGGGGGGTGTCTGGGGCAACAGTGAGGAGCCCTGTGAGGCTGGAGCCAGGGATGACAGGAGGGACACATGGAAGCACCAGGCTAAAGTCGGAGAGCAGGACCTCGGGGAGCCAGATTAGGGTGTTGCCCCAAGGGAGAGAGGAGCATCACCATGTCCTGAGTGCTCCTAGGCTAATCTCATCTATTGTTTGTGTTTTTATTCATTTAAATGTCGGAAGGCAACTTGATTTCCACGTTCACCGCCCCGTCCCCATCCCTGGCTAATTTCTAATTTCACCTATTTCAAGAAGCGTTTCCACCTGCTTCCCCCACCCCCAATGGGGCAGGCACCCTCTTGATCCTCAAACCCCCAGGGCTCCCTTTCTGAGAAGCACAGAGCACGTGACTTTTCCATCCATTCCTGTCTCGACGAGAGTTTGCTCCTGCGGTCCCTTCCTCCAGGAAGCCCACCGTGATACCTCAGGCAGGATCTGCCATCCTCCGGACCCTCCCGCCACCTGTAGGTGCCTTGATCCACTCCCTGCTCAAGCTGCCCCAGACACCCCATGGAGACCTGGAGTCCTGACCCAAATAGACACAAGTCAGAGCTGTGCGTGAGGGTAGGAGACGGGGCTCTGGTCCCACCTGCTTTAACTGGCCGCGCGACCTTGAGCCACCCTTCTCCCTCGGGCCTCTGCTCCCCATCGTACCAGTTGGGTGACTTACAGTGACAACAAGAACTACGCCTTGTTTAGTGCCCGGGCACTGCCCTGCGGACTGGAGATCATTTCACTTCACCTTCTCAGCAACATGGCAGTAATGTGCACTAGTAGCTCCGTGTTCCAGAGGAGACACGGAGGATGAGATGCGTGTCCAAGTCGTGTAATTGTAAGTGTCAGACCTGGGATCTGCCCACAAACCCTCCCTATCCAGCTGACCCTGACCTTGGACGCCCAGGACTCAGCTCCCCTCCTGGACCGCACCCCGCCAGGATGGAAGGCGGCCCCCTTGCCTGCTGGGCTCCCCCTGCCGCAGACGACCCTCCCAGGGGAAGGCGTCCACGTATCCCCGCCACCTGCCTCCAGCTGGCGGGTACTCACACGAGGCTCAGCACCACGGCGCCCGCAAAGCCCAGGAGCAGGAAGAAGGGCAGTGAGCCCAGGATGGACGTGATGACAATCATGCCGCCGCTCCGCCGGCCTGGCCACGTGTCGATCGCCAAGTACGGGGTGGCTAGCAGGACACAGACCCGTTACCCCCCAGACACGGCGCGCTCAGCCACCTCCCAGGGCTGCGCAGGGTCTTCCCAGGACAGAGCAGGGACCGGCTCTGCGACAGTCTCCCCTCAGCCTTGAGGTGCTTGTCCCCACATCCCAATTCCCAACTTTCTCTTGAGTGTGTCTGGTCTCTTCCTCTTTTAACTGGCTTTGTGCGTAATTTTAAATGATACACGGACTCCAGTCTTCTAATGAGAGGGATGGGATACAGATGACAAACTATTAAAATAAAGGTGAAGCTGAGGGCCCTCCCTCTGCTCTGGCCAGTGTCAAACAAGTACAGGTCCTACTGTGAGCTGGTCACTGTCCCGCCATTGTCCCATGTGGAACCCAGCACACCCCGTTCTGCAGTTCACTCAAAGCAGCTCAGCAAGACGAGTTCTTTGTTCAAGGGCACTTGAACCCCAGGCTCGAGCCTAGAGGTCTGTCTGGCCCCAAAGGGCACGTTCTCCCCCCAGACTGACCTCAGGTCTAGTGTGTTTGTCTGGATCACCCAGAGGAACCCTGCCGGGGAGGAGGCAGAGCAAGGATTCTTCCCATTTCTCAGAGGTGGAAACTGAGGTCGTGCGGGGCTCACACAGCAGTGAGACGTAGGGGCTGGGCTCGCACTCAGGATGCTGGGTCCCAGGGCAGCATTGTCCCAGTAGGACACAATGCGTGGGCGGCCACAGGAGGGGCTGGCCGGGAGCCAGAGTAAGAAAGACCGCCCTGGTCACCCAGGCCAGTCTGTACCCCTTTGACAGCTCTGTGACCTCCGGCCACCTTGCAGAGCCACTGAGTGCCTCACACCGTGGTTACTGTTGGTAGCAGGAGGCGCTACAGGGCCCATCTCGGGACCAAGCAGTCTCATCTTGGGGTCCCAGGTGTCGCAGGTGGAGAGTTGTAAAGGTCGGGTCATGTGCCATCAAAATCACCCTTGGAAAGCTCTCTTGTTGCCCCTAAGGTTCAGCAGACACGAGTCTGTGTGTAGAACCTCGGCTCTGTGTTGAGAACTCGGTGGAGGCGTCAGGAGGGACAGGCAGACGCCGGGGCCCCAGCCTCCCGCCACCTCCAGAGTTCAGGCCCTGCCACAAGGGAGCCTCTGCCCATGGACGTGGTGATGATGTTTGTTGCTGTGAGGATTCAACAAAGGGGCCGCTTGGGCCCTAAACTCAGGGTAAACCGCCGCACAGACGCAAATGCGCCGGGAGGGCTGGGAAAAGCAGCTGACTGGTCACAGTGACATGGGTCCAGCCGCCCCGCCGGCCCAACACCAGCAGCCCTCCCTGTCCTCTGCCACAGCGCCTGGCCTCGAGGAAGGAAGGGGGAGGGGGAGGGGGATATTTCAGGTGAAGTTATTTTAAAATGGTCCGGCTGGGCCCTGGCTGGTTTTGCTCAGTGGTTAGAGCGTCAACCTGCGAACTGGAGAGTCCCGGGTTCAATTCCCACTAAGCCTGAGGGCACGTACTCAGTTGCAGTTTGTCCCCAGCCCTGGTTGGGGTCGTGTGGGTGGCAACCACTCTATGTGTCTCTCTCACATTGATGTTTCTCTCTCTCTTCCCCCTCTCTCCCTCCTGTTCTATCTGAAGATAAATGCAAAAATGTCCTCGAGTGAGGATAAAAAATAATAATAATAATAAATAAATAAATAAATAAATAAATAAATGAAATGAAATGGTCCGACTGGTGTGGCTCAGTGGTTGAGCATCGACCCTGCACCAAGAAGTCACCAGTTTGATTCCTGGTCAGGGCACATGCCCAGGCTGTGGGCCTGATCCCCAGTGGGGGGCGTGCAGGAGGCAGCTAACTGATGTTCTCTCTCATCGATGTTTCTATCTCTTTCCTTCTCCCTTCCTGTCTCTCTAAAATTAACAAATGAAAAAAATATATTTTAAAATGCATTTTCCTCATAAGCCAATGGCCTGCCTGCGTCTGGGGAGCGTTCTCAGAGCGGCGGCCGGAGTCTGCTTTCCCAGGTTCCCCCAGGACCACCCTGCCCCCCACGCTCCACCCTCAGCGCCACTCACGCCGGTTGGTTCGGATGGGGTCCGACCACAGGGTCTGGTCCTGTACCAAGCCTGTGGACATATTGACAAGGACGTACTTGAACCTGGAAGGAGATGGAGCAGGGGTGACTTCCATCCACCCGTGAGCCCCGGCCACAGGCAGATGGAGGGTTGGGATGCTGGGCTGGCGGCGGAGCAGGGACCGCTGGATGGAAATCTAGGCAGCCATAGGCGGGTGCTGGGCAGCAGGATGGTGCTGGACTTCGCTTCAGCACCTTTGCCACATATCACTGCCGGGACCCTCTCTGAGCCCGGAGGCACCTCCTCCGGGAAGCCTTCAGCATCAGTGACCTTCCTCTCGGCTCCCCCCGGGGGCGCGTCTGTTTCTCTGTTACACACATGACACGCGTATCGTCCTCCGTGCACTTTTGCCTCCCACTAGTCCTGGCCTGTCCTTGGTCCCACAACAGGGACCTAAACTATAATAATATCCATTCCCCACCCCCACTCCCTGGGCTAAGGGCTACATTTTATATGCAGAAAACCCCACCCAAGCATTGCAAACCGTAAAGGAAGACCAGGAGGCCCAGCCCGAGATACCCAAAGCCCACTTAAGGTCCGTTTAAAATGGTGACTAGCCCGGCCGGTGTGCTCAGTGGATTGAGCATTGTCTGGTGAACTGAGAGGTCCCCGCTGGATTCCTGGTCAGGGCTCGTGCCCAGCTGTGCACCCAACCCCTAGTGGGGGGCGTGCAGGAGGCAGCCGATTGATGGTCTCTCTCATCGATGTTTTATCTCTCTCTCCCTTCCTCTCTCTCAAATCAATAAAGAAAAAAAACTTTTGCCCTGGCCGGTTTGGCTCAGCGGTTGGAGCGTCGACCTGCGGTACAGAGAGACCCAGGTTCTGTTCCCGCTAAGGACATGTACCTCGGTTGCAGTTTGTCCCCGGCCCTGGTTGGTTGTGCGGGGGGCAGCCACTCGATGTGTCCCTTCACATCGATGTTTCTCTCTCTCTCTCTTCCTCTCTCCCCCTCCCGCTCTATCTGAACAAAAAATGGAAAAATGTCCTCGGGTGAGGATTAAAAAAAAAATTAAAAAATTAAAAAAAAGAAAAAAAACTTTTAAATGATGGATATTCTGAGAACTAAGAAATTGACAGCTTCTAGCTTAACATGTAAAAAAGCAGTTAAGACCCTTAAAATCTCTAATCCTCTACTTCTCTGGGTTAAAGAAGAGAGTTCCAGAGGCTGGGACACAGATGTGTCCCCAGGTGGGGAGCCCGAGGGTGGGGCAGAGAGCTCCTGCCCTGCCTGGTGATTGGACCAAAGCAGGGAGGGGGCGGGGAGACGATGGCAGACGAATGATGACCTGGCCCCACGGGAAGCCTAGAAATACAGACTCCAATCTAGGCATCTCCATGGTAACAAGAGTGGCTTTGGCCCCAGGTAAGACCCTCTGGCCGTGGGTCAGGGCTAAGCCCCCAGCTCTGCCCTGAGAAAATGCTCGAAATACCTATGGAAAGAATGAGGGACCCACTGGGCAGTGGGGCAGGGGGACAAGGTGTGCTGGAGGGAGGCAGGAAAAACAGAGGATGGGCACCTCGGACAGGGCTCTAGTTCATGCTGGGCCCCTGCTTTTTACCAGGTGACCCTGCCCTCTCTGGACCACAGTGTCCTTCCCTGTCAAATGAAGGGGGGGGGGGTGACTGCCACCTGCCACCTGGGTGATGAGCCAGGATCAGGGCCATGACTTGGGGGACCCGGTGCAAGAAGAAAATGCAGGCCCCTTGTCAAACATTCGAAGACAGCGGAGCACAAAGCCAAGTCGGGGCCCTTCGGAGCGTGGGCCCTGTGCACAGTCACGCGTGTGGCCTCTCACACTCTGCCAGCTCTGGGCCTCCCTGAGGTGGGGCTGGGGCACCCTCCCTGGCTCACCCCGCTGCCCACACCCACCTGTATTCCGTGGCTGCCGACAGCGGCGGGTTGCAGAGGCCCTGGAAGTTAGGGTCGGAGAGGCAGGCTCCATCGGCGCCCACCCTGACCAGGTATGCGTTCAGGATCTCCGGGGCCCGGGACACATCCCCCACGGCGTCCAAGCTGGGCAGGTCGCTGCAGGGGGTCAGGTCAAAGACCACGGCCTTGTAGGGGCCTGTTCTCCCCCCTCCTGTCTGCCGGAACGTCCAGCTCAGCGGGGTCCTGCTGCTGTCCTGCACAGAGGCGTTCCTGGAGCTGGCTGGAGGGCAAAGCTGGGAGTCAGGTTCTGGCCACCCCAGCTCAGTCACTCACTCAGTCATCGAGCGCTCCGGGACACCCTCTGAGCCAGCGCTGGGCCCTGGGGTCGCTGCTCCCTTGAAATGGAGGTGATGGTCCTTTGTGCCGCTCCCACCCACCTCATCTTGTCACAGGCCTGTAACTCTCCCACCCCATCAGGCTACTGTCATGTCCTCGCTGAAAACCCCAGATTCTCTCTTCTGTGGCAGGGGAAAGGGTCACGTGGTGCGGGGGGCAGCGTGGAGGCAGGCAGACTGTGCTGGGTCCCAGGCCTCCTCCTCACTCGCTGGGTGATCTTGAACAACTCAGATCCTCTGGGCGCGGCCCTGCCATGCGAGAAAAATGCCCCGCCATGCCCACAGATCGGGCACAGGCGGGCAGTCCCTAAATGTTTGCTGAAAAAGCAAAACGGTGACCCTGAGTGAGCCGTTGTAAGCGGCTAGTTGCTAGAAATGGAAGAGGTTGTCCCTGAGCTCCTCTCGGAAAGCCGGCACTGCTGCCAGCGACGGGGAGGGCTGCCCTGGAGCCGGCAGGGTCTCTGCCCTGTGGTGGGCATCGTAACACGGCCGAGTCTTGAACAACGTGGCGGTTAAGGGACACAGCTGAAAATCTGCATGTAACTTTTGACGCCGCCCAAATTTAACTACTAATAGCCTACTGTTGATCAGAAGCCTCATCAATAACATAAAGTCAATTAACACCTATTTTGTATGTGATATGTTATTCTATAGGGTATTCTTCCAATAAAGTTAGATAGAGAAAGAAGATATTACAAGAAAAAATACATTTACAGTATTTATGGAATAAAATCTGCATGTAGGTGGACCAGTGCCGTTCAAACCACGTTGTTCAAACCTGTAGTTACCTGGCAGGCTGGCTGTAAATTTCAGCCCTAAGGTGTGCAGAGCACCTGGCATGAGGTAGGTTGATGCTGTTAGATTTCCCCCACTAGACTGATGTCCCTCAGGGCAGGGAGAGGACTGTGACTGTAGCACCCAGCCCAGGGTGGTCACAGAGCAGACACAAGTGCAGTTGGCGAGGTGCATGGAGCACCCCCTACCTGCTTTCTCCCCGCCTCCCTTCGGACAAGTCAAACCCATTTCAGCATAGCGGAGGGAGACAGGGCCCTCACCTGAGTCGACCAGGACATAGAGGTAAATTTCATAGGTGCCATTGAGGGCCACCATGCTGTCAAACATGCAGAGAGGTTTTTCCAAGGCCACGGTGCTGAGGGTAGGGTTGTTGGTGGCAAAGGTCACACTGGCCAGTTGGGGCTGGAGGTTGACACCTGGAGGAAGCAGTGAGGACGGGAGCTGACCCCCGGTGGAATGTCCACACCCACAGGCACCCTGTGCCCTCCTCCCGACACATGCACACACACATGCACACACACGTCTGCATGCAGTTACTGAGCCCCTGCTGAGTGCCAGCACCAGGGTTCACCCTCCCACGGGCCACCCCAGGAACCTGCCTGCCTCAGACAAGGGCAGCACCCCTGGCCCCACGCAGCCGCCCTGGCCAGGAACCAGAAAGTCCAGCAGATCTGCTGCCCTCTCTCTCCCTCCACAGACGTTCAGTCACCAGAACTCCACTGCCCCTCCCACGCATCTCTCCACCCAGCCCAGTCTTGGAGACCCACCCTCTTCACCTGAACCCTAGTAACAAGCCCTTCCCCTCCGCTGCTCTCTAGTGTGCAAACTGACCGCGACACTCTCCTGCTAGGCCCTCCCTGGCTCCCCTGCCCCCCAGTGCAGTCCAGTTTCTCTGAGGGGCAGTGAGGTCCTGACGTGCCGACCCTTGCTTCGCTGGGTCCCCAGCTTCAACTTCTTGCACACCCCTCACCCCAAGCTCCAGCCACTCGGATAGGCAATGGAGAGGAGGTTCTCCGGCCGGACCTCGCCGCCCCCCTCCGCCTGAACCTGAATGTCCCCCAGTCCAGCAGCAGCACGAGTCCAGTCCAGCGCCTTCTCTGCTCTCCCACCGCCCCTGTGCGTCTGTTTTCTGCAGCACCCACCACAGAGCTCTGCCACCCAGAGCCCAGCAACGCCCACCAAAGGAAGCTTATTAATCAGCGTTGGCCATAGTAACATCTGGGCCCCGGGAGCCTGCGCAAGGCCTGACACGGAGCAGACATCCGTGTCTGTTCCCGGAGAGAATAAATGAGGTTCCCATTCCCAGTTCCCCTTCCCATCCAGGCTCCTCTCAGGGCTCCTGGGGAGGGTCAGGGTGCAGGACACACTCCAGGGCAAGCTTCCCACCCTCCCTGGCTCGGCCCCCTCCTCTCATCAACCCTTACCCAAGCACAGCCGCAGGCAGCCGAGGGCCAGCAAGGCCCAGAGGGAAGGCATCACCTGGGACTAGGGGCGACAGAGCAGGTGGCGGTCCCGGAGCGAGCGCACCCCGCGCCTTGTTCCTGCCGCGCACCTGCCGGCCCTGCGCCCTCCGCGTGTCCCGCCCCTGCGCGCTCCAGCCAATCCGCGACCTCCTGGAGGACTATTTGCATACGCCCCGCCCCCGGCTTCCCAGGTTTGAGTGGGCGCGGGGGCTTTACCTAAGCGCCTACTAGGTGCAGACTTGGGCAGTGCTTTCTTTCCAAAATATGTTTTCATTGACTTTTTAGAAAGAGAAAGATCGATGTGAGAGAGAAACATGGATGGGCTGCCTCCTGCACGCCCCCTACCAGGGACCCAGCCTGCAACCTGGGCACGTGCCCTGGCGGGGAATAGAACCGGGACTTCTCAGTCCACGGGATGATGCTCAACCCACTGAGCCACACCGGCTGGGCCTGGGTGGTGCTTTCACCCCTGTCTCTCATCTAATGATAAGTGGGGGGCAGGCCACCCCTCTTTGAGCCTCAGTTTCCATACTTTAACATGGGGACACTAATTCCTATAACTGTGTATATAGACCCTACAAGGACCAGGCCCTCACTGGCTCTTGTGAAGATGAACTAGGTTAACCAGTGAAAATGCTGTTATGGGTCCTGGCTGGGTAGCTCAGTTGGTTAGAGCGTCATCAGGTAGGCCAAAGTTGTGGGTTCGATCCCCCATCAGGGCACATAACAAGAATCAACCAATGAATGCATAAATAAGTGGAACAACAAGTTGATGTTTCTTTCCCCCTTCCTCCCTCTCTCTCTCTAAAAGCAATTATTAAAAAAAAAAAAAAAAAAAGTGCTATCAGCCCTGGCCAGTTTGCTCAGTGGTTAGAGCATCGGCCCGTGGACCAAAGAGTCACAGGTTCTATTCTGGTCAAGGGCACGTACCTCAGTTGCATACCTCAGGTCCCCGGCCCTGGTCGGGGTCATGGGGGAGGCATCCAATCAATATGTCTCTCTCACATCTCTCTCTCTCTCACATATCTCTCTCTCTTTCTCTCTCTCTCTCCCTCCCCCCCCTTCCCACTCTGTCTGAAAATAAATGGAAAAATATCCTCAGGTGAGGATTGGAAAATAAATAAATAAGTGCTATATGGAAATCTTGACGTCCTGGGTCTGTGAGCTGTCTGGAGATCTGTGGCGTGACCCTGTCAGCTCACAGGTGCAAGGCCAAAGCCGCACACGGACTCCCTGGAAGGGCCCAGGCTGGTGGATTGCAGGGGTACTGCTGCCCAGCACAGACGTTGATCGGCTGCGTCCTGCATGTGCCCTACTGGGGATGGAGCCCACAACGCAGGCATGTGCCCTGACTGAGAATTGAACCAGCAATCTTTTCTTTTAAATCCTCATCCTAGGATACTTTTCCATGGATCTTCAGATAGAGTGGGTGGGAGGGAGGTAGAGAGACAAACATCAGTGTGAGAGAGACACATTGACCGGCTGCCTCCCGCACGACCCCAACCAGGGCCGGGGCTGGAGATTAAACTGCAACCGAGGTACATGCCTTGGCTGGAATCGAACCCACAACTCTTTGGTTCACAGCCTATGCTCTAACTGCTGAGCCAAACCTTTTGGTGCACAGAGTGATGTCCACCCAACTGAGCCACACGGGCCGGGGCACAGTGAGCCACTTTCAGACGGAGCCAGGGCTGCCGTCCCGGAGGGACTAACTAACTGCCTTGCGTGTCTTATGTCTCACACCTTGGAATGTGAAACAGGGCAAACAACCTTGGGCTGGGTCTAAGAACTGTCTGCAAAGAACAAGAAAGCAGTTTTATGGCTAAACGCTGGACTGCTGGCTACTGGACTGAAAAATAAAAGCAGTTTAGCATTAGCGTCACTATGTTATGTTCTCTGCACCAACAGAAATGCCTTCCTTCCGGGGATGTAATGGTTCCCCTTTCTTGTCTCACAAATACCCCTTGCCTTTGTCTCCTAATAGGAACAATATTTGGGTTTCTGCACGAATGAACAATTCCTGAATAGCTTCCAACTGATCTCAATAAATGCCGGTTGCCTCTCACTTTGAAAGGCCTTTTTATTTTTAGGTTAACTGAACCCACAGAAACGAATAAATCCATGCATGACATTGATGACAACCACGTGCGGAAACACAAACGAAAAAGACTGTATCTGAGAGACCTTGGAGGGAGCAGATCTGTCTGTGCCTCGTGGGTGGGGACACTCTCGGGACAGAGAGAATTGTCACAGAACCCTGGGCTGGGCAGAGCAGAACTTTGGGGCCCTGGCCAGAGTGGCTCAGTGGACAGAGCATCAGCGTGCACACTGAAGGGAAGGGTCAAGGGTTTGATTCCTGGTCAAGGGCACGTACCTGGGTTGCAGGTTCGATCCCCAGCGCTAGGGTGGGTGCATGTGGGAGGTAGCCAACGGATGTGTCTCTCTTACATCTATGTGTCTATGTTTCTCTCTCTCCCTCCCTCCCTTCCACTCTCTCTCCTTCCATTCTCTTTTTAAAAATCAATGGGAAAAAAATATCCTTGAGTGAGGATTCATAACTACAACACAAATGTTACTTTTTTAAAAATGAAAAGAGCCCTGGCCGGTTTGGCTCAGCGGTTAGAGCGTTGGCCTGCGGTCCTGAGAGACCCGGGTTCGGTTCCCGCTAAGGGCATGTAACTCGGTTGCAGTTTGTCCCCAGCCCTGGTCGGTCGTGCGGGTGGCAGCCACTCGATGTGTTCCTTTCACATCAATGTTTCTCTCTCTCTCTCTGTTCCTCTCTCCCTCCCACTCTACCTGAACAAAAAATGAAAAAATGTCCTCGGGTGAGGATAACAAAAAAAAAAATGAAAAGACACTTTGGGATCACCAGGATGCGGGATGAGGGAGGCTGAGATGGAAGGAGAACTATACGGTGTTCTCTCTTGTTGTTGTTAATAATCCTCGCCGAGGATATTTTTCCATTTATTTTTGGATAGAATGGAAGGGAGGAAGGGTGGGAAGGAGAGAGAAGCATCAATGTGAGAGAAACACATTGATTGGCTGGCTCCAAACCAGCCAGGGCTCTAAGGTGTTTTTAATTAGCAGTATTGTTATGAAAAGTAACAATGAAGTCCCAGCTCTGTCTACTGAAAGGGCCTGGGCACAGTGAGCTCACAGCACTCTCAGCTCCCAAATACCATTCACTCCCCAGGAAGAGGCGCCAGGGCCCCTTGGAGAAATGGTGACCCCGGGGAAGGCTCAGGAAAGGTCGAGAAGAGCCCAGAACGTCCAGAAGAGCTGGAAGAATGATGTTGTGTGTCCAAGGCCCTGGCGCAGGAGGCCTTGGAGGGTCTCCCAGTGGTCAGATCAGAGTCAATTTGAGCACAAAATAAATAATGGTAATAATGCATTCAGCCCATCGGATAAAATACAAACCCACAAGTCAATGTCGATACTTTAAAAAACATTTTAAAAGAGAATTTTCTCCTTTACGGAAGAACACCCACTAATAAATGTAGAAGGAAGGACAAAGTGAAATTCATCATTTTACAATCATCCTGGTAATAACTATGCAAGAAATAGTAATAAAAATAATGTCATTTCAATAGATGGTAAAACCATTTCAATAGATGGTAAAACCATAGTAATAAAAATAACATCATTTCAATAGATGGTAAAACCATTTTAGGGAAGAAGATACGCAGGAATCTGGGGACAGCAACATAATGAGATGAACCCGGCCTCCCCAGGAGAGACCGGTGATGGACTGACCCAGGGGCTGCATGGGGTCATGGCTCTGAGAAGGACCGTTCCCGTCCAAGCAGTGGAATCCGAGTCTAATCAGCAGGAAACAATCAGGCACATCCACTCTGAGGAACTTCCTGCCAACTAGCTGCCTGGATGCTTTCAAAACATCAGTGTCCTGAAAGACAAAAGCAATAACGACCAAAAACAAAGGCTGAGGACACTCAGGAGACTCAGAGACGGAACCAACTGCACCTGGTGATCTTTGATTAATTCTCAGATAAAAGCGAATACCCCGTCACTAACACTATTATAGTTAGGTGGCAACGAGGGGAATTTGAACTGTGGAATGTCTATGTGGCAACAAGACAGATTAGATGTTAAATTCCCCGCGTGTGGCCACCGTATCGCGGTTAGGGAAGAGACACACGCCGGAGTCTTGGGGTGAACTGTCCCAGCATCTGAAACACACACAGCACGTGGAGTGAGGGAGCGAGACACGGCGAACGCGCCACAGTGTGACCCGTTGGTGGATGTGGGCATTCTGCAAGTGTTTCTATAGATCTACATTTTTAAAAAATAAAATTATTGGCATTGTGGCTCAGGAAATAGAGCGGTGGCCTGGGCACTGAAGGGTTGTGGGTTTGATTCCCGGTCAGAGGCACGGGCCTGGGTTGCGGTTTGATTCCTGGCTCTGGTTGGGGTTCAGGTGGAAGGCAACCAATTGATGTCTCTCTCTCTCTCTCTCCCTCCCCCCCTCCCTCCCCCATTTACACTCTCTCTAAAAATCAATGGAAAAAATATCCTTGGGCGAGGACTAACAACAACAACAAAAATGTTAGGAGAAAGAGATTCTGTGCTCAGCCAGAAGCACACTGGCCCTCTCTCTGGGCCTCGGTTTCCCCTCTGTAGAGTGAGGGGGAGGGGCTCTCAGCTCTGCCGTGCCAAGAGCAGATAATCTGATCCTTATCTCCGGGGAACACTCAATGCCCTGGAGATGAGTAACCCTTGAGCAAAGGGTGAGGTTTCCTCCAAGAATTTTTATGGGCTGATATTTCTTGTCCGGCGATCCTCTGCGAACCTGGAGCTGACCAGAGGCGGGCACGGTTGGTCCGCAGCTCAGCCCGGAGTCCGAGAGAGCCGCCGTCTCCTCCGAAACGCGGCCGTCTGCAGGAAAAACAAACGAAAGTCCTCGGCTCTCTTGCCCAGTCCAAATATGGACAAAACTCTGGGGGGAGGGAAGTAAAATAATAATCTGCTAAGGCCCAAAAATGTTCTGCAGGGAGAGAGAGGGGTGAAAAGAGCCCCCCCCACTGTGGCTTAACCCCCTGT